GATGTTGGTGTTCTTCCCGATGATTGTATCATTGCCTCACTGGATGTTGTCTCGTTGTATTCTAACATACCAGTTGTCGAGAGCATTGATGTCGTCATGGAGTTCTTGGAGTTGCATCGGAAGGAAGTAGATATGTTTCACCTGCTTGTATCGTCGCTACATCGATGATTGTCTGATAGTATGGTGTCATGGTCTTGTCAAGTTGATGGAGTTCGTGCAGTACTTGAGCAGCAGACACCCAGACATACGCTTCACAGTAGAACACACCCAGCAGAATGTCTCGCACACAGTCAGCTACCTCGACTTGTCTATCTCTGTGGCGAGTGGTGTTGTGCAGTGGGAGTTGTTCGTTAAGCCCAGTCATAGTGGTGTCCATCTATCGTACGAGTCTTCATTGCCATTGGGGGTGAAGCGTTCGGTTGCCCAGGAGCAGTTTCGGCGCGCAAACAGCAACGCGTCAACCGACAGGGGGAGGGAGCGGGGAGAGACGAAGATCGAGACATTACTACGAGACAACCAGGGGCGTAGCACCGCTACGACTGGTACGACCATGGCCGCACCACTTTTCGAAAAGTGTGGTCCGTCTGGAACGTGCAAAACCATAATAAAAAATCAGGATCCATCGATATTTGCATATGCGCATCAGACCTTTTTCTAGACTCGTACGAGAGAGAGACTCGTACTCGTAGATCTGTTATGCATCTGCAGTCGTACTGAGTACTGTACTCGACTCTACTGCACACTGCGCCAGAAGTTCCCAGAACGCAGGATTTTGTGTCGTTTTAACAAAATTTTCCCAGGGGGGGGGGGCGGACCCCCTCCAACACGGCCTTCCGCCGCACCGACCTTCGGTCGTACCACTTCCAAAACCCCTCCTACGCCCCTGACAACGACTACCCACAACACGCTATTCAAGCAGCCAAGCACCATGCAAGCACACCAAGACCATCATCCACCAGACAACGACAACAATCGTACACATCCATCATCAAACTGCCCTTCGTCAATGATCGTTTGGCACGTGATGTTCGTCGTACGGTGAGGTCTTTCAGTAAGGATGTGCGTGTGGTGTTCCAGTCCGGTCGGTCACTAAGGGACATGTTGGTATCGTCATCATTGTCCCGTCCTGAATGCCCGAAGGAAGTGTATAAGAAGAGAAGAGGGAGGGGGCGACCAGTTGAATGTCGTGCATGTGATGCTGGTATGGAGAGTGGTCAATGTTTGTCTCAGGATGTTATCTACTCGATGTTATGTGCACTTTGCGCCGAGGAGTACGTTGGCGAGACCGAGCGAACTGCAAGGAAGAGATTTGAGGAGCATTGCAGAGAGGCCAAAGCGCAAGCGCTGGAGACGCCATGGGGAGAACACTATGCAGAACACCACCCACAACAAGCAATCACATCTACACCCATCACCAACGCATCAATTCTCGCCAAGCAGTCGTCCCTTGTGAATCGTCGTATACGTGAAGCAATGTTCATTCGTGATAAACACCCAAGTGTTAACAGGGATCGTGGCTGGAGACTGCTGGACACAGTGTGAAATTATTGTGTTAGATGCTGGTGTTGTAAATTGTGGTAGACTGTGATGTTGCGAATATATTATGATAATATTTTGATATTTGATGTTTATGTGTGCTAGCTGGTTATATGGTTATATAGTGCTTAGCAAATAGTTGTCGTCATCTTTGTCTTCACACCCATGGACCCAACTACATTGCATGCTTTGCATTCTATTCTCCATGTCACTAACACATATTCACACTTACAGACACAGCTCTCCACTTGGCTCCTTCCCTTTCTACCAACACACTTCACCATTGCTGCTGGTAACCACACTTCTCGTGCTTTCCCTTCACATCGCACTAACACATACTCACACTTACAGACACAGCTCTCCACTGGTCTCTTTCGCTCCTTCCCTTTCTACCAACACACTTCACCATTGCTGCTACCCTTCACACATACAAAGATTTCCAGCACTACCGCACCACACAGCATATATACTCGTTTCAGTTTTTGTTAGCTTTAGTTGAATGGGGTTTTTTTCACCCTGAAGAAGGGCCATGCCCGAAATTTGGTGCATTCAATTTATATCTAATATTATTTGTTTTTTTTGGAAGTGAAGTGAACATATGCAGCGAAGAGTCGACCGTAGTTGGAGAGTTTGAAGTAGGTGCTGGCGGATAATGCCGGCATTATATCGAGCATTATACACCACCCGGAGCATTACGAGCATTATAAAGCATTACGAGGCTACAAATGGCATTATACGACGTTCTACATGACTGCATAGTAGATCTACACGCATGCTCATGTACAGATTCGTATCGGCTATAGCGTTGGTCTTTGATTGGCAACATTAATATTACTATGCGATGACTACAAGCGATAGACCACCGCACACATCATGCATGGTACCAAACAGATCGTGGCACGCAGCGCCAGGCCCAATACTGCAATCTGCATGCAGACTAGTGCTAGCTAGCTGTGGTCCAGCACAGTGTGGAAACTCTCGCAGAAACTTCCGGTCCCGGAAGTCTATCTTCGGCCAGCAACTAACACTTTTTGAAGATCCAGGTGACAACGCCGAACCAACGAAACAAATGTGAGCCAGCATGGAACGGTGGAGGTGCACACACGCACACATTCCAGACCTTACCCGGTTACCGTCCACAATGTTACAAAAAACTTTTTTCATCGAAGCAAGAGTCCATGTCTTTGTCGAAGAGTAACGCTGGACTTTCACCGGACATTGACCATTGTGTAAGAGCAGCTAACTAGCAGCCAACGCTGATGGCTGACTCGCCGCGATGCCGTTCTTGGGATTGGGAGGAAGCTGGGCTCTCTCCAGATGAGCTTTTGGCGGAGTCCTCTGATGATAGTGACGTCGTCGAGCTGGAAACTTCAGATCCTGCCGCGATAGCGAGGAAGCGGCCTTTTGAATTTCAGAAAACAGCTATCACCAAGTCTGGAAATGTTTCCAAAAGGACGCTAGTAGCTCATGGACAGAGCACTGAAGTGGCCATCAGTGCCGAAACACGGGTGCGGAGCCGCTCAAAAGCGACTGTGGCAAGTTAGTGTGCCTGGCATGCCATACAACATTGTCAGGGAAGAAGAGTATAATCATGTCCCATATTGCTACCGCGAGACACAAACAAGGAAAGGCCCGTTTGGAGAGGGAAACTCAGAGGCAGAAGCTGGTCAAGGAGTCCTTCTTGGCGTATCAGAAACGACTTGGGAAGGCTCTAGCCGGCACCGGTCTTCGTTACTGAGGCCGTTAGTTCAGCCGAGTCTCTGCGGCGGATCCAGATTGTGCGTTCTATGTTGCATTGCATGGGTGCAATATTATAGCGTTTTTCTTAGCCCGATACCGCAAGGTTCAGGAGTTTACATTCCATCCGGAGAAGCATTATCAGCATTATTTGGAGCATTATATGGCCTTTTGTGGAGCATTACTGAGAGCATTATACCCCATATTACCGAGCATTATCCGCCAACACCTAGTTTGAAGTGAGGTACCCTATAATGCGTGAATGGCTGCAATGGAGTCTGCGAGTGCTTAGAAAAGTAATACGATGCAATGAAATGACAGAAGTGACGTCAACAAAAGCCGTTAGCAACAATACCAATAATAATGACTAATGAAAAACTTCATCCAAAGTATAAAATAAAATAGATTATACTGAGCTTGTATACAAACTCTCATCTCTCCCCACACAACACTCCAGACTTGTATTTTGCATATAACAGGTACTTCGATGACGAGAATATAAACTGGTATATAAACTGGTATATAAACTGGTGTATAAACTGGTGTATAAACTGGTGTATAAACTGGTATATAAACTCCTTTTTTTTTAGGATCACAGTAGGGGAGTTTGTATATCAGCTCAGTATAAGCATAATATAACCTACTCAGTTGAATATGGGAAATATAAACCAATATACAAACCTCGGCTTCGCCTCGGTTTGTATACAGGTTTATATTTCCCATATAATCAACTGGTTAGGTTATATTATATACATAATATGCATACAACATGTCTGGTCAGTCCTGTTAGGTGGGGCGGGCTCCACGCCATGCCTGTCGGTCCGCTGCCGGCCATTGTGCGGACTGCGTCAACATCTAGCGGCTGGTGGAGGGTAAGTCCATGCCATGATAACAGTTCTGTCTGCAAGATCGTTACCAAAGTCGTCCGAGGTCGACCCCTGAAGCGTTCAGTGCCCTCGTCGTTGGCCAGGCGAAGATACACATCCACTGCCAACTGTGGAGGAGCAGTTGGGGCTAAACGAAAGATATGGCCAGCGAGACTGTAGCGCTGCCTTGTGATCATCTCGCTGATGGGGACAGCTCCGCAGCGCTTATACAGAGTGTCATTGCTAATTCGTTTAGGGTACCGCATGTCGATGATGCTCCTTAGCTGGGTCCTGTGGAACGAATCCATTCGCGCGAGCTCCGACATCGGTAGGCCCCAAGTGCCGCAGTTATATGGACAAATAAGATTACTCCATACAGTACTGTTTCGAGCAAAGGTCTCATCAGTGACCTCATCAGTGAAGAACTGAAGATGTTTAGAGCTAGTCTACACATTACGCAATAATACTGTTATTATACATACCACCAGTTACTTTACAATCACTGAATCAGTTCATGCGATAACATTGCACGACACTGACCAGCGGTACTGACGTACTACATCTACCTGGCCAACAGCTCTAGCACATCTCGGATGCGCACTGCAACAACCTTCCAACTGTTACTTGGAAGGATCTAAGTTATCTGGTTATAGAAATTACATAAGCAGGGGAAGGTGAGCGCACCCCCCCCCCCCCCCCCCAACCACCGCACACTCCTCCCCCCCCCCCCAACCACCGCACACTCCTCCCCCCCCCCCCTCCCCAACCGCCTCAAGCAAAAACACCCCTCCAAAACCATTTTTACACATACAAATGCCCCCCCCCCCCCACACACACACACATACGATCATACTTGGCAAATTTGGCAAAGACATTCTGTGGAAGGATTCAAAAGTGCGTGGCGGGTAAATACACGTGAGAAAAACCAGGAAAACCGAGGAAACCGTCATGCCAAGACCAGCTTGGCATCTTTGAGAGCAGTAGACTGTAATACCCGACCAGGATCAGGGTTAGGTAAATAAACTGGGGCAGGTCGGGGCAAAAAGGACAATAAACTGGGGCAGGTCGGGGCATAAAGGATGGGGAGTAATGAGAAATACAATACAATTGCTAGCGGTCGAGCACACACAGGCGGGGGCGGGGGAATATGTAAGAGTTCACGACGAAACTGTGAAAGGTTCAAATCGAAAAATACAGTCTCCAAAATGCCTGGCACAAAGCAAAGTCAGAGAGAAAAGCGCGCGATTAAAATGCTGAAAATCAACGAGATAGCAAACGCTGTGCTAAATAAATATTAAATAATCTCTCGTAGCCGACGCTTGAGACTCTTTGTGTCTGGGGCCAAATATAGGATAATGGAGGGCTGGGGTTGGAAACAAAGGCCAAGAGAATAGTTACACACACACACACACACACAAACACACACAAACACACACACACGTACACAGCGCCAAAACAGTAACAGCACCAGCAGTAGCAGCCGAAGACAACGTGTGATTCCTGGTGTGTGTGTGTGTGTGTGTGTGTGTGTGTGTGCGTCTGTTTTCGCGTCCGTGTGAACGTGGGGATAAATTGTTACACAGAATGTAACGTGTGTAATATACATTGAAGCTAATATGAAGTAGAAACGAGCAAAACTAAAACGACAAGGAGAAAATCACGACGAAGACAAACACACACACACACACACACACAACAACAACAACAACAACAACAACAACAACAACAACACAACAACAACGGAAGGCAGGGACAAGAAACACTGATGGTCCGTGGCCTGGTTATCTGGCCGTTCGACGGATGAAATCCAGCGGACAAAGGGGCATAGTTACGACGGATTAAGTCCAGCAGACAAACGGACATAGTTTCGACGCATCGGCAGACGGTAATGGCATCGTAGGTTTACCATGGTAGAGAGTTACCATGACAGGGAGTTACCATGGCAGCGAGAACTCCTGCTGTTAGAGTGGGAAACGGGGCCACCACTGTGTGTGCATGTGTGTGTGTGTGTGTGTGTGTGTGTGTGTGTGAGAGAGAGAGAGAGAGAGAGAGAGAGAGAGAGAGAGAGAGAGAGAGAGAGAGAGAGAGAGAGGGAGAGAGAGAGAGAGAGAGTGAGAGGAGCAGAGCCGTCAGTCACTGAGCGCAGCCACGCCAACCTCTGGCGATGTTTGCCCAACATCATAAGGAGCTGCCGCCTGCAATATCCACGCGTCCGTTTGACCGGTTTGTCGCATGATGTTGGTGACCACCATGCGAGCAACGCGCGACGCCATCTCCTGTCTCTCCTACAACAGAGAACACGACGGAAGAAGAGCACAAAAAGCAGGTCACTTCAGATTCTACTGTTCAGGCAGAAAACATAGTGGGTGAACAATTTCGTACAACTCCAAAGAAAGGGTGTTGGTGCCATTGGAAATTTATTCCATGGACCACCGTATTGTAACTCGGATACTGAGCCAGTAATAGCTGAGCCGGCATTCCTTGTTGCCGTGGGACATAGCTTGTGCACATTTTCGCTGCGCTCACCTTCCCCTCTTCGGTCCTACGTAACCATGAACCTTCCAAGTGGTCATCCCTCAAATAAAGAAAATAATAATAAGTTGGAAGGCTGTGGGTTTGCGCACTGGAGGTGTGTTGGAGCTAGGTCTGGGGTCGCTGAATGTCTCAGTAGCCTGTCACTTTGTGCCCTGTTATCGCACTTTCTGACTGTCTATCATCCTGTTACAGCCGTGGGTATTTGATGCATAACTCGTTCTCATGTATTCTCTTTTCTTTTTTTTAGACCACCGTATTTCCCCGAATAGGTATGTAAGACGCACCTTTTTACATTTCACTTCAGGCCCAACAAAGGGGCTGTGACTTAAAATCGAGCGTAATTACTTCGGAAATGAATATGTCGAAACAATAATCATGGCATGGACCTGGAAATGAGGTTGCGACTTACAATCGGAGAAATACCGCTCCCATAGAAAAGTTGGAGAAATTGACGTTAGTCCGGCATATCATTTAGTCCGAAATCTCCTTGGGCGAAAAGGACGAAAATGAATTCCACACGAATATTTCTGCTTACACAGCTGGATGTGGCAAATGGGATTTAGGCCTTTGGCCTCTGGTTGGTGGATCTGATCTATCCTCCCCCACCGTTTAGGAGCCGCATCTGACGCCTGATCATGGGGTGGTGGCGTCCCACGGAAGCGGAAAGGTGCTCCTTGACCAGGGAGTTGTATGACTCCTTGTTCTTGACCTGCCCGGTACGCCAACCCGTCGAATTTTTTATTTTACACAGCAAGAGCAGAAACGCATGCTATTGCTGAACAGCCACCTATAAAGGCATGTCTCTTAGTTTTAACCGCCTCTTCACCAATCACATGATACAAAATAACAAAACTGTTACTAACAAACGCGGATGTGCATGCGGATCATGCTCACCTGCTTGTCACACGCTGCTACCGTGTAAACGTGTAAACTGGCTAATGTTACTGGCACGTATTGATGTTTGCTAATTTTGCGACAAGAGCATGATGCTAGTATTAAGGCCGATTCACAATACAACTTTCTGCGACTCGACACGCGATTTGCGACAAGAAACTGCCAGTCGCGAGCTGTCGCAAGCTATCGCAATGCACCTGTCGCAGAAGTTGAAGAAAGTTCAACTTTTGCGACATGCAACACGCGACATACACAAATGGAGTACAGTTTCGACCCTGGGTGCACGTGCATAGTACTACTTGTGCATGAGGATGTCGCAAACATGAAGAATATTGTGAACCGTGTGTCGCTGTCGCAGCTCGTCGCATGTGTCGCAAGTTGCATGTCGCGTCGCAGAAAGTTGTATTGTGAATCGGCCTTTAGCCACCGTGAAATCAAACTTCAACAATGAGTGTATGTGTGCTGCCATAGTGCTCCGCGATCATAAGCCATCGTAAACCCGCTGGTTCTGAGAGACCGCGAAAATTTAGCGACGCGAATATTGAGCGGTTTACAGTATGTAGGAGAGAGCTGAGGCTAAAATGAAGTTATAGGAACGAAAAAGGACCCAGGAACTACAAGTTAGGCTATAGATGTCCTGTCCACTAACACCATCAGTTACTGCACAATCAGCTCGTGCGATAACATTGCACGGCACCGACCGACGGTACTGACGTTCCACAACTAACTGCAAAATTAATCGACATGAGCAGATAGTCCAGAAACTGGTGGTGTTAGTGGACAGTATAGCGTAACTTGTAGTTCCTTGGTCCTGTTTCGTTCCTATAAAATCATCCTTGGCTCTTGATCCGAATCAGAAATGAAGTCAATGTCATTGCTTGGTACACTGCAGGCTAAATTCACAATCGCCTACAGGGTTCTGGGCAGGTAAAAATAGTAGGGGGCGGGCAGGGGAACATTGACCCAGTAACCTATTCTTTCCATTGTCTTGCAACCCAAAACGCAACCTACTAGTGTCCCAACTTTACCCCAGACAAGTGTCCCAATTTTACCCCAGACAAGTGTCCCAATTTTACCCCAGACAAGTGCCCCAATTTTACCCCAGACAAGTGTCCCAACTTTACCCCAGACAAGTGACCTAACTTTACCCCAGACAAGTGTCCCTTTTGAACCCTCTGCTTGTGGCTATAAACTGGACTTGTGTTGAATGAGCTGAAAAACCCACACAGGGAAGTGTCCTTGCTGTGCTATTGTGTTAATGCTTCATGCATTTGTTCGGCTGAGAGCGTGGCATGGTGGTGACAGGTTGAGAACGTAGTAAATTGGAGTATGGCCGAAAGCTCTGCCACAATATTTTCAAATGAGTAGGGGGCGCCACTTTTTCACAGGAGGACGCTCATGTGCCCCCTACCCTCTTTTGGCTAGAACCCTGGACCATTCAAACCTTGCAAGAACTTGCTCTCATCATGATCAACAAAGTCAGAATTCACAAATTGAAACTTCCAATCAAACCGGGAAAATTACCCTCTGAAAGTTGACTTTCCTGCAAATTCTGAAATAATGTGGATTTTGAATTTTTCCGGGGGATTTACAGCAGAGTAGCTGGGACTTTCCCCAAATCAGGCCAAATTGAAAATCCAGATGACAGGCTAGAATATCGTGCAGAATTTCAGTGCAGTCACGGCTAGAGTAGATATAGAATGGATCTCGAGTCACTGCTATCTTTGTACATCATGTGCACATGATAAATAGGAAAGAAGAAAACACCGGCCCTGGACTCTGCTCTGTGCTGACAGTCCGTTCAACCTTGCCACGTTTTAAACCAGGACACCTATATCACATGTACCGTATTTCCCCGAATACAAGTCTTATCTTTTTGCACTAAACTTCAAGGGCAAAGAAGGGGATGCAACTTACAATCGAGAGTAACATCCTACTTATATGCATGTTTCGAAACAATGTGGTTCAAACCTCAAAGTGGGGGTGTGACTTATAATCGAGTGCGCCTTGCAATCGGGGAAATATGATATACAACGGTAATTGTCTCTCATGTAAATGTACACAAATGTTTTGGTCCAAAACAGGCCGATTGGACAGCCTATGCCGAGCCATAACTTACGGAGTCTTCAACATACGTATTCATCATGCGCTGTACGGCGTGCGACACACGTTGACGAAGTGTCACTGTTACAACAACAACAAGCACAACCACCAGCATCACCACCAGCATCACCACCAGCATCACCACCAGCATCACCACCAGCATCACCACCAGCATCACCACCAGCATCACCACCAGCATCACCACCACCACCACCAGCATCACCACCAGCATCACCACCAGCATCACCAGCATCACCACCACCACCACCAGCATCACCACCACCACCAGCATCACCACCACCACCACCAGCATCACCACCACCACCACAACCACCACCACCACCACCACCAGCATCACCATCACCACCACCAGCATCACCACCACCACCAGCATCACCACCAGCATCACCACCACCACCACCATCACCACCAGCACCACCAGCACCAGCACCAGCACCAGCATCACCAGCACCACCAGCACCAGCACCAGCATCACCAGCATCACCACAACCACCAGCATCACCACAACCACCAGCATCACCACCAGCATCACCACCAGCATCACCAGCACCAGCACCAGCATCACCAGCATCACCAGCATCACCAGCATCACCAGCATCACCACCACCACCACCACCACCACAACCAGCATCACCACCACCACCACCACCACCACAACCAGCATCACCACCACCACCACCACCACCAGCATCACCACCACCACCAGCATCACCACCACCACCACCATCACCACCACCACCATCACCACCACCACCACCACAACAAGAACATTAGAACAAGGATAACACAATGTGAAATAAACACAACGCACACACGCCCGGGCGCGCACACACACACACACACACACTCACACATAAACACGCACACACACATACACACGCATATACAGTCGTCCCTCTCTAATCCGGCACTTGTTTATCCAGCACCCTTGCAAACCAGCACACTTTCTGGCAAAACGGATTTTTCGGTTCATTTTCTACACTTTAATCCGGCACTTGAATTCCGCCTCCAGCAGCGATTTCCTGCAACAAATCACTCAAACCGTACATAATTCGATTTTCTAATCCAGCAGTTGTACATCGCATACTGTCAGGGAGCATTGTACTTCGAAGTAACATACACAATACATGTAACATACACTTGGGAATATCCTACGCCAGTGCATAGGATATTCCCAAGTGTATGATAAAGACATGCATTCCACAAAGTACTTGGATTGACACAGGAAATCCCTACGTTTTGACGCACGACACAAACATGTATGTTAACAGGTGGGCCGGGTTGGAGGGCAGGATTTGATAATCCAGCACCCTTGTTTATCCAGCAGAAAAAAAACGTTGCAAAAGGTGCCGAATTAGAGAGGGACGACTGTAGTACACAGCTAACCATACAGAGGCGAGGTGAAGCAGTGATTCTTGTATTGAGACAATACATTCTCGGACAACACAAATCTCAGTATCAGTCTCCGGCAAACACAAACACTCTTTGGCTTGAGGAGGGGGGGGGGGGGGCTGGACACTGTCCGATGGCTGAGCTCACACCAGTCCCTCCAGTGTTGGGCAAGCTCTCACACACACACACACACGCACGCACACACAAACACAAAATTATATATATCGAGTCTCACCCCTGATCTCCTTGGCGTCCGGATACGGCTCAATCTCAGACACATACTCCCCAAGCTCAGTGATGTATGCAAAGTTAAGCCTGATGTCCAAACACTCACACACACACACACACACACACACACACACACACACACACACACACACACACACACACACACACACACACATGCACACACGCACAAACATCTTTAGTTAGGGAGGAGAAACAGACCTACATGTAGTGACAGAATGTCCTGATCTGACAGAAAAACAATTGCACAATCACTCAGTCAAAATCAAGAATATGATCAGGTGTTCAATTCTTTCCTGGCCACAAAGAGAGAGAGAGAGAGAGAGAGAGAGAGAGAGAGAGAGAGAGAGAGAGAGAGAGAGAGAGAGAGAGAGAGAGAGAGAGAGAGAGAGAGAACTCCAAGACACAACACACAAACAGGCACACCCCAACTCGTCACTAGAGATGGAGTGCCTGAGAGCTGCTTCCACTCACGCTTGTTTAGGCCGTCTCCACAAAGCATCAGGATCTTCTCCACAATCGATGCCCATGGCCGCTTCGGTGAAATGGCTCAGCACATTCTCAGCGCTTAGCGACTCGTGTGCACTTCTCTGCGTGGTGTACTCGCGTCTTTCAGAACTTGGACTGCCTGAAAACACACAGACAATATCCATGTACACACACACACACACCTCAGACCTCAGACCTGCCCATCGCAAAAGCGATGATAGCGAACAGCTATGTTAGACATAGCAACTTGTGCTGGGATTACATCATTCAACAGCTTGCAAGGCTGATGAATTGACCGCCACTATTTTTAGCCTGAAGTCACACACACACACACACACGCACACGCTCTCACATACACACACACACACACACACACACACACACACACACACACACACACAAACACGCATACGCACACCCACGCAAATGCAAAAGAATACACACACACACACACACACGCACACACACGCACACATCAGACACACATGACAGGGGAGAGCATGCACCCTTGTCTTGAACAACTAGTTAGCACAGTCAACAAACACACAACAAGGAAAGCTATGCTCTGCGCCTGTGTAATGTTGTAATGTTGTGTAACTTGTGATGCTATGATGCCGTGATGCTATGATGCCGTGATGTTGTGATGTAGTGATGTAGTGATGTAGTGATGCCGTGATGTTGTGATGTAGTGATGTAGTGATGTTGTGATGTAGTGATGTAGTGATGTAGTGATGTAGTGATGTAGTGATGCCGTGATGTAGTGATGCCGTGATGTAGTGATGTCGTGATGTAGTGATGTAGTGATGCCGTGATGTAGTGATGTAGTGATGTAGTGATGCCGTGATGTCGTGATGTAGTGATGCCGTGATGTAGTGATGTCGTGATGTAGTGATGCTGTGATGTCGTGATGTAGTGGTGTCGTGATGCTGTGATGCTGTGATGTCGTCATGTAGTGATGTCGTCATGTAGTGATGCTGCGATGTTGCGGTGATACAGTAATGCAGTGATGTCATGATTGCAGTGATGCAGTAATGCAGTGATGTCATGATGTAGTAATGCAGTGATGTCATGATGTAGTAGTGCAGTGATGTCATGATGTAGTAATGCAGTGATGTCAGCAATGTTTACACTCTGTGTGTACGTACTGGCAAATAGGGGTGTCATCGGGTAGTAGGGTACCCGTGCTACCCGTAATTCAAGCTGGTATTTGGGTAGCAGTTTGCTCCTGAAAACCCGATAGGGTAGTTGGAGTAGGGTATTTTCACAAGGGTGTATGTAAGAATCACGGCTATGTGCTTACTGTAAACTTTCTATGCACACCCACTGTCCAAACTATGTTAAAATATACCCGATTGGGTAGCCGTGCTGCCCGGATAGAAATACCCGGATTCGTTACCTGACCAAACCCCTACCCGTTGCAGTCCTACTCGCAATGCCTCGCCAAACAGCAAACAGACATTGTCAGCACCTGTTCTCACTTAGTCACAGGATAGGTGTGAACAATGCCTATCTGCACCCCCCACCCCTTCCACCTGCACCCCCCCCCCCTCCCCCACCTGTACCCCCTCCCCCACCTGTACCCCCCCTCCCCCACCTGCACCCCCCCCCCCCTCCTCCCACCTGAACCTTCCCCCCCCTCCCCCACCTGTACCCCCCTCCCCCACCTGCACCCCCCCTCCTCCCACCTGCACCCTCCCCTCCCACCTACCCCCCCCCCCCCTCCTCCCACCTGAACCTCCCCCTCCCACCTACACCCCCATCCAACCTGCACCCCCTCCCCTCCCACCTGCACCCCTCCCCCTGTAATCTGGATCTTCTTACCATGCGAATGCTGACCGTCAGCTGACAGCAAGGAATGGTGATGGTGATGGTTTTGATGCTGGTGGTGATGTTGCCCGGAAAGGGTTTGCTGGTCGGCCCGTCGATGCTCGCTAACCGAGTTGACAAGTTTGGAGAGGAAGTTGAAGTAGAGGCCAGAAGTCAGGAACAAGGGTAAATAGTCCTGTCGGGTGAGGCAACATGAAACAGCGAGCAGACATGTACAGGCACATAAAGACACACACAGACATACAGACACACATAAACACACACAGACACACACGGACATACACGTGGTCACACACGGACACACGTATACGTACAGAGCTGAGTAAAGACACAGCAAGACAGAATTGAGTGACGACCGAGTGGAAAGTTAGATAGATAGATGGAATCCTTAAATAAATAAAAACAAATACAAGTAGATAGTCACTGGTTCGAGGGAAAGATACAAACGGGAAAAGTCTGAAGAAAAATTGACTGTCACCACCTGGACTTGAACCAGGGACCCTCACTTGTAGCCAGCGATGCTCTCACCACTGAGCTATGGTGCAATCGTCATCCCAGCAGACCATTCAACATTTTCCTCAGACTTCATAACTCACACTTCCTGTGAGTCCACAAATAGATAGATAGATAGATAGATAGATAGATGGGTAGATACAGATACAGCTAGATAGAAAGAGAGAAAGCAAGAAAGAGAGAGAGAGAAGAGAGAGAGAGAGAGAGAGAGAGAGAGAGAGAGAGAGAGAGAGAGAGAGAGAGAGAGAGAGAGAGAGAGAGAGAGCAGTACCTGTTCTAGAGTGGAGTACACATGGTACATAGGCAGTGCGAAACAATCTGCTTGTGGCCCATCCTGGTTTTCGCAGCAAATACTCATCTCCACGGCAACACGCACTTCGTCACCAAGGTGCAGCGGGGACGTGGCTTGTAGCGAGAAATACCTGAACATGAAAACAAACACACACACACAAACTTGTTTGTACTTGTTGCTCACTGCCAAAACTGGTCACGTGGGTCTCCCGGGAAAGGGGAGAGAGACCCAAAAGGAATCTTGGAAAGATGACTCAATTGCCTATTGAATCGCCCAACGGCCGACACCCCCTGAAATCCCCAAAACTCTGGGTGGACTTGAAAATGATCCCACTTATGGGCTCACCACACCTCAGTAAGTGGGTGAGGACAAGGTGGAGAAAAAGGATTGACAGCATCAGGGTATCCGTCCCAGGATCCAACTGCAGTTACCCCTGCCCCCAGTGAAGGTAATACTTGCTACTAGTGTGGGTGGCTAAATCAGAGTGGCTCTGATACAAGCTTCACTAGCACCATGATTACACAAGAGTTAATCTAGCCAGAAGTAGTCCATGGTTAAATGGCCATCCGTTATTATCGATCTTTTTCACGAAACGAAAAAGTTTCGTTTTATATGGGTGGGTGGGTAGTGACCGGTTTCGTTTCGAAAAAACATCGAAAGCGGAAAAATCAACGCGCACTGCATGCATTGATGCATGCATACAATTGTGTACTTCGAAGTAGATCGACAGTACGTCGCGCGGCCAGGCAAGTGCTGCATATGGATGCACTGATACCACTCTGTACTCAGTGCAGTCGTGAGTTACTTTCGTCCTCGGATGACTTCTCCGACGAGGACCTAGCAGTCATTCGCTCTGGGACCGACGACAGATAGATATATACTTCGTTCCAGCCGCCGATGCAAGAGAATTTCGAATTACAGAGCGGGGCGCACGCCAAGTAAATTCTCACGCAAATATGGGGAGCGCCAGCCGCTGAAGACGATGTCGTCGTAATGTACCTGGAAGAATCTGATCGTGCTTATGGTGGGGAAGCCATGGAGAGTGATCCCCGTGTCGACACTCGACAGTCTTCCAGAGACGGAAATTTAGGCCATCGACTTTCTACGTACCTGATTGACGGCAGCGCAGCGCGGCGTGTGTGCGACCTTACGGAGCTTTCCGACAGCGATTCTGGGGCGATGCTGCTCTCATTTGCGAGCGAGGCATGACCACTGCAGTCTGTGATAGCTATGGTGTTTGTTTCCGTTCCGAAGTCGACTTGTTTTGGCAGTATCATGCCAATGTCGGAACTCTGACGATTTGCATGTGTACTATTCCCGTGTTTAGACGTAGAGGTGCCAATTATTTAGCAGCGTATGTGTGTGGTAGGTGAAAATAAATGGTTCCATGGTCAAGAAGTAGTACTAGACTTCCAAGAAAACATAACTGACTTGCACAATCATACAAAATGTGGCCTCGCCGTGAGTTATTGGCATCCTTCTAACATGTTACTTGCCGGTCAAGGGTTAATAGTGCTTGCATGCGAAGGATATGTGTGTGTTGTAACAGCCAATCAAGATCATTTTCTGCACAAAGTCTCAAGTCAATTAATTTTTTCGTTTCAGGGGGGTGGGTGGGTGGGAGTGAGTCATAACTAAACTTTTTCGTTTCGTGAAAAAGATCGATAATTACGGATGGGCCCTAACAGGTATGTATACTTCAAATAAAAAGTATATGAACCCTGAAACCAACAAAGGTGGCCACACACACACACACACACACACACACACACACACACACACACACACACCACACACACACACACACACACACGTTCACACACATACACACCCACGAATACACGTATCAATAATGTTCCTAGGGTTCCCTGTAAAAAGGCGTCGCCGCCTGTTGGGAATTCCCCTGGATAAGGCAGTCAATTGACCGTGGATAAGGCAGTCAAAAACATTTTTTTTAATTATTTACTTTTTTTACCAGGCGTGGGCCATCCCCTGATCATAGGTGCCAAACATTTTACGTTTTTCATCTATTTTGTCTACAGTGTAATAAAACGTTTTGAGGATCAAAAAATAAAAAATAAATGAAAAAAATAAAAAATAAGGCAGTCAACTGACCCTGGATAAGGCAGTCAACTGACCCTGGATAAGGCAGTCAACTGACCCTGGATAAGGCAGTCAACTGACCCTGGATAAGGCAGTCAACTGACCCTGGATAAGGCAGTCAACTGACCCTGGATAAGGCAGTCAACTGACCCTGGATAAGGAGACCACCTGCACCACACCACCTGTCCCCTGAAAGGTCGGCGCTTAGACAGGTTTCACGGCATACCGTGTACGTATGGAGGCTCACCCACGTTCTGCCAGAACGTGGGTGAAAATCTGAATGGAGCGCATTGTGCAAGCTGTGAGGGTGCTCAGCTGAAGAAGTTTCCGAAGCACGAAATCAAAATATTCGATGAGCTTCGAAGCTTCGTCTTTGACCAAGTTTGGGCCTCTTGCTTCAGGCTTTTGTTTGCTCCGTGTGACTAAAACAACATTGCGAACGTGGGTCCATGAACTTTACGTGAATCAACAACTTCCCGTATCCGTTACGTGGGACTAAACCGCCCTAATATTCATAAACAAAAACCTGACAAATTCTAGTTGTTTTTCGGGCTAGAACATCTCCCCACAAGTTGGGTTGCCAGTAGAGTGGGTCCACATGACTTCAAAACCGGAGTGGTGAATTGGCGTACGCTTTGTAAAACACGTTTCAGCGGTCACCATGCCAAGGAGGGGATAGAGACTTAGTGATACAAGACGGCACAGCAGTCACCATGCCAAGGAGAGAGAGACCCAGTCACGCAAGACGGCACAGCGGTCACCATGCCAAGAAGGAGAGAGAGAGAGACCCAGTCACGCAAGGGGTCGTCGTAAAAGGTTTTTTTGTCGTCCCTGAAACGAACATCGTTCATTTCGTACTCGGACGCCTCCCCTCCCTCTGAAACGAACGCAGCTTGGTACGCTGGACGACGAAAATCGCATGCATGTACACCAGATTTGTACACAGTGTCAGTCGACTTGCGATTTCGGCTCGCATCCACCCCCCCCCCCCCCCAAACGAATGATGTGCGTTTGAGGGATGACAAAAACTTTTGCGATGACCCCTAAGAGGGCGCACTACTGCGCATGCACAAGAAGAAAGCCTGCAGCAAACTCGGCGTGCACTACAGCAAGGTGTACAAACCGAATCGGGCGATAAGGATGCGTTTCGATAGCATAAACAAATCGGGAGATCGCCGCCTGGTGGTGGGGAGATTTGGCACATCGGGGCAACAATGGAGGATGCAGCAGTTCAAACAGTTTCAGGCACTCACCGTTCATAGATGGCCATGGCGTCGTTGAGTGCACGTGAACCTACGTATGTCCCACTGGCAATCTGATCTTTCAAGTCCAGCTGAAAACTGTTAGCCAGGGTCCAGAAGTGAAATAGGGTAAGAGCACCTTCTTGTTCAATGAACTGAACGGCAGACAAACACACATACGCAAACACAAACACAGACACGCAAACACAAACACGCAAACACACACGCAAACACAGGAACAAGCACAAACACACACGCAAACACATGCGCAAACACAAACGCAAACACAGACACAAATACAAACACAGGAGCAAGCACAGACACAAACACAAACAGACACGCAGACACATACGCAAACACATACGCAAACACATACGCATATGCAAACACATACACAGACACAAGTAAGAACAAACACGACAACGGTGATATTGTGTAACTTGTAAAGGACGCCTATGCTGAGCAGAATTTGCTTCTGGCGTGTGTCAGGCACTGTCACACAGCTTCACTGACACCGTGTCATCATGTGATCAGCTGTTCAGTGCTGTCGGTCACCGAAGAACTGGAGGGAGAGGGGGGGTGTCAGCCTACTAGCCTAGACCATTAGTAGTTCACGCACAGTCGAGTCACTGTGTATACATTGGTATGCTGTGAGTCACCGTGTATACATTGGTATACTGTGCTTGGTGACATTCCAGACTGGCCGTTCTTCGGTACCCGACAGTACTGTAGAAGAGAATGGGTCAACATCCTGTCAAGTACTGTAGAGGCAGAACATTTCCTCGGTCAATAATTACGTCCAACTCCAAAGAAAGGGAGTTCGTCCGGTTGAAAATTTCGTCCATGGATCGTAAGAGTGTATAGAAAAGCTGGAGAAATCGACATTAGTCCGGCATTTAATTTAGCCCAAAAGCTCCTTGGACGAAAAAGACGAAATTAAATTCCAGACGAATAGCTCTGCTTATACAGTACAAGCAGTGCAGCAACTTGCACAATCCCCAATACCGCCGCCATCGACAACACCACGCGAGGGATCACACCATTCAACAGGCCAGGTGGACAGTAATGATAGTTTGCAGACGGTGCATGCAACGGATGTAAGCACGTCACACACTCACTGAGTGCTGCAAGGACTCTAAATCTGCTTGTTCCAACACTATTCATGAAAGCTTTCACTTCATCCGGAAAATGTGTAACAATGACATAAGAATGGCGTTGCCCACAAAAGGCCTAATGCCCCCCCCCCCCCCCCCCCCCACCCACACACACACACACACATGTACACACAGCCACCCACACACATCCACACACAGCATAGGTCTTACCTCAGTGAAGACCATAGCAGATATATGACCCAGCATTATGTCTGACATGCGTAGTGTGGTACTTGTCAGGATCTCGATGACAAACTTGCAGTAGAAATGACTCTTCAAAAACGGATGGTAATAGCTGCAGAGAACAACAACAGCGACAACAACAACGACAACAACAACGACGACAACAACAGCAACAACAACAACAACAGCAACAGCAACAACAACAACAACAACAACAACAACAACAACTTTCTCTTATTGGCCACAGGCCATCGTGAGAATAAAAGATTTCAAACTTAAGCCAAGAAGCAGACAGTGATACACAATCCACATTATCTCCCACGGCAGGGTTGACTGGTTCAAACGGATTCGATATCGCTCGATGCAAGACGTTTGCACATGTATGGCGTGTAACAATCATCGCTGCACACATGTACATGTACACGTAGTACTTCGACATTGATGTAGAATGAGTACGGGCAATACTAAACATGGAGTGATGTATCGATCGTCAATTGACGGCATTTTCAATGTAAGCACGGTCACAGTAGAGATAAGAGTAAATATAAAGATCCCAAGAGTGTGCAACTCCTGATACCTTTTCTATGAGGTTCGTTGACGGCGAAAAGTCACATCGCATGGCGTCGCGTTCCCATTGTACATTTCTTTAGCGAGCAGTGGAGTACTAAAAATAGCACTCACTGACAGAAAGTCACTCCACTTATGGCCCTCCCCAGCATGATCATGGCAGATATTGGGATTGTGCACACGCTGTCCTTCGCTGTACGTAGTACGAAGCGTACATCAAACACGTGATGTGAGTGTTCGCCGTCGGAGACCCTATATGCAGAATTTCACACGCTTGGGAGCTTCTTAGTTGACTCTTGCCAGAGGTGTAAACAAACGGGATTGAATGATTGTGTGGGGTGTGGGGTGCGGATCTCACCAAGAGCTAGAGTCACAGGGCCAAGACTTACTGCTGATCGAGAAGCTGCAATACGGTGTGCTGTGCAGCCGTGAATACCTCCGGTGACACAAAACCATCTTCTTGACAGATACCTAGCTCAATGTCTTGTCGTACTTCAATGGGTATGTTGATGGGCACCTTGGCTTGCATGCTAACATACTGTTTGTAGATAGCTAGGGCATCACGCTGTACACCTGTAAACATTCGTGTCATAGGGTACAATACACACACACACACATACCTTTGACCTTTGACGCCCATCGCCGGAGGCGATGATAGCAATGCTACGGCAGAAGCCATAGCAACTTGTGCTGGGATTGCACCATTCAACAGCTTGCAAGGCTGAAGAATTGACCGTCACTATTCAGCCTGGTCTACACCATACAGCTATTTTGAAGTGACTTTCTCTGGCCAGTGAATCCCTATTTTTGGTCTTTTCAATTTTTTCCCGCACACACATCACACCACATACTCCGGCATGCACTGGCTGTTGGTAACCACCCAGGACAATGAAAGGAAAGTCAGGAAGAGCCTGAGAAGAGAAGAAAGACGTGTGTGACCATAATCGTCGGGAATCGAACCCGCAATCTATCGATTGGAAATCGCTGCACATACCACTGCACCATATGGGACACACACATACACACGCACACACACACACACACACACACACACACACACACACGCACACACACACACAAAATTTCAACAAGAGCTGTCTCAAACGAAGGTCCCTGGTTTGAGTCCTGGTCGTGACAGTCAATTTTTTCTTCAGACTTTTCCCATTTGCATCTTTCCCTCAAAACAATGAAGAGTTGTCTTCTTCAGAAATAATAACTCTGTCTCCTTGTCTGTCTGTCTGTCTGTCTGTCTGTCTGTCTGTCTGTCTATCTATCCGTCAGTCTGTCTGTCTCCCTGTCTGTCTGTCTGTCTCCCTGTCCGTCTATCTGTCTGTATGTCTCCCTGTCTGTCCATCTGTCTTTCCTACGCGTTGCACCACACTTGATTGTGCGTCCTGCTAAACACATTACATGCTCGCCTTCAGAGAAAACTGGAAGAAAGGAGGTACTTAAACTGCCAAGCAATCCACAACAACATGATGATGATGATAATAATCGGAGTATTAGTGAGGTTCTGCTATACGTGAAATGTAGAGAGAAATCACGTAGAGAGCAGGTGTCTCAGTTAGAGTCTACGGCTTCGCGTGTTTTGGATCCAGATTTCTACGCGTAGATGAGGTTCTCTACGCACACGCAAAGAAAACGCGCAAGGATCTGCTGGGTATCGATCAAACGCAGGCAGAAAACTGCCAGATTGGGACGGGGAAATCCCAGTACACATTGCACGTGATTTCTCTACATGAACGCAGAGCAGAACAGGTTGTCTGTACGTTACGGGAACGGGAAGAGAGTTGCCGGGATTCTTTGCGTCGCGTTCCCGTAACTTAGAGCATAACATAACTAATACCACAGAGTCTTGTATTTCAGACTACAGTCAGACCTCGCTTATCCGGTCCTCGTTTATCCGGATCCCTCACCATCCGGAGGAAAATCGTTGGTTACCGATTTACAGCATACGCCATGCATACATACAGTATGCGTCCGATTATCCGGTTCCCTCGCCTATCCAGATATTTTTCTGGAAAACGGATGTGTGCGGTTATGCAAGGTCTGACTGTATCTCATAGTTATAAAAGCCTGTTTTGCAGACTCAGCGGAGGACGTTCAGGTTGGTTGTAACTCGGAGTTCAGAGTTGTTACTCTGAGTTTCATGCCGCTAGGCAATCATCAGACAACTGACAGATTTGAAGCCTGTTTTGAATACAAGCCTGATTTTCAGGACACACAGTCGGCACATAAGCCTGGTTTTAGTGTTGACACACATAGAAATACCTGGTTTAAATAGAAGCCTGGTTTGAATAGAAGCCTAGCTTCTACAGGAATACGCCCCGCTTTGATACGTGACATTACTAATACCTGCGCCCACACATGACTTACTTAGACTTTGCAGTCTTGGCAACATCTCCTGCTTGAACTCCAACATGTCGGAGCGGTGCTGTGCCGGGAACCTCTGGCTGTATTGGTCAGCTGTAGCAGTCTTGCCCTCAGCACCAATCACACCACCATTACTGCCGTCGCTCCTCACGTCGTAGTCCCAAAGCGCGGGATTATCGTCGTCCTCAATAGACTCCACCACAAGAACAGGATCTCCGCGCGCCAAGGAGGCTCTATGAAATCGACCACCAGACACCGTTGTTGGAGGCGACGATGCGTAACATCTCGGCGACAGCTCGGCAGAGCTCGGCGAGTTGCTACGGTTACGATGCACCGCAGAGCCGCCCGATGTAACCTTGGTGACGCTGATGATGCTGCTGGCAATGGTATCAGCCTGTGTAGAACAATGACATCATCACCATCACAATGACATAATCACCGTAACAATGACATCATCACCATAACAATGACACCATCACCATAACAATGACACCATCACCATAACAATGACATCATCACAATCACTATCAGCAGCGTCAACTGCTGCATCAGCAGCGGCATCAGCAGCAGCAGCGGCGGCAGCAAAACAAGGAGAGTGGAGCACATACCTGAGACACCGTGGAAGTACGTGACACAGGAACACTGGTGGTGGTGGAGGAGCCACGATATTTCTCCAAACGATGCAGTGAACTGACACGAAAACTTTCCACTGCCAACCAGAACTGAACCTGAGAGAGAGAGAGAGAGAGAGAGAGAGAGAGAGAGAGAGAGAGAGAGAGAGAGACCGAGAGAGAGAGAGAGAGAGAGAGAGAGAGAGAGAGAGAGAGAGAGAGAGAGAGAGAGAGAGAGAGAGAGAGAGAGAGAGAGAGAGAGAGAGAGAGAGAGAGAGAGACACACACACACACACACACACACACACACACACACACACACACCATGTACCACACACACACACACATACACACACACACACACACACACACACACACACACACACACACACATACACACATATATACACACATACTCAGACATGCCCATCGCAAAAGCGATGGTAGTGAACAGCTATGTTTGACATAGCAACTTGTGCTGGGATTACACCATTCAACAGACTGCAAGGCTGATGAATTGACCGCCACTAAATTTAGCCTGGTCTACACCACACAGCTCACACATACATACACACACACGTGCATACACACCCACACACGTACACACCCACACACGTACACACCCACACACGTACACACACGCACACACACACGTACACACACACTAACCATTGAAGTGCAGCCAACCGACTCTGCGTACTGCAGAAAGTAGGGCAGTGCAGCATTCTGCGACAAGATCTCCATCAGAGAGACGTTGAGACGCGAGGAGTGTGCCGTTGTCACTGTAGGCACTGTGGCTGAATACTGCAGTGACTAAACACAATAACAAGTTTGAAAAAAACAACAGTAAGGAGCTGTCCGGTGCTCCCGTTTGACCCTAACCAAGGGTGTAATCGATTGGCGAATCTGGATTGAGTGCGAGCAGGCGGTGTGGTCCGAGCAACGCTGGCCCAACTGAACAAAACAAGGGTGTAGTACGCAAAATGTACGCATATCGTACAAAGATTCTGTGAAAGCTGTCCAAAAACAGCAAAGTACACTTCCACTCCAGCCACTCCCGGTGTGGGGGCCGGTGTGGTCGGATTCCACTCCAAGTACACCTACTCCGAATTCGATCGGATTCGACCAAACGATCACACTCACTCGGAGCGCACTTGCTCGGGATTCGCCCAATCGATCATGCCCCAACACACTCAGTGAGTGAACCAGAGCAGGAACACCCCCAAAAGAACAGCATTCAGGTTCACCCTGCTCCCGATTGACCCTAACCAACACACTCAGTGAGCGAACCAGAGCAGGAACACCGCCAAAAGAACAGGATCCCGGCTCACCCTGCTCCCGATTGACCCTAACCAACACACTCAGTGAGTGAACCAGAGCAGGAACACCCCAAAAAGAACTGAATTCAGGTTCACCTTGCTCCCGATTGACCCTAACCAACACACTCAGTGAGTGAACCAGAGCAGGAACACCCCCAAAAGAACAGGATCCCGGCTCACCCTGCTCCCGATTGACCCTAACCAACACACTCAGTGAGTGAACCAGAGCAGGAACACCCCAAAAAGAACTGAATTCAGGTTCACCTTGCTCCCGATTAACCCTAACCAACACACTCAGTGAGTGAAGCAGAGCAGGAACACCCCACAAGAACTGAATTCAGGTTCACCCGGCTCCCGATTGACCCTAACCAACACACACACTCAGAGAGCAAAAAGGAATTAGTCTTACCCCGCGAGCTGCACGTCCAAAGAATTGTCCAGTGATGATCAAAGAGCATGAGTACATTACGTCATGATGATCAAAGAGAACGAGTGCATTACATCATGATGAGCATCCACGAGTGCATTACGTCATGGCCAGAATTAATGACACCATCAGCCGAAAATAGGAGACACACAGACAGACATGCAGATTGACACAGACACACAGACACAGACACCCACCCACACATGCACGTGCACACACACACACACACACACACACACACACACACACACACACACACACACACACACACACACACAGATATGAGAACCAGAGTACCACACACCGGAGGACTAAAGTCTATTTTCGAAATATGCTACAACATGCTATGCATATTCCCATCACAGAATGTAACAGCAGAACAAACCATTCAGAAAAACTGAACTATGGGCATTTTCAAACCGAATCTAGGCTGAATTAACCCATAAAAAGCGGTTCTAAATTGAGGCACAGCGGTTTTCAGTACGCATTGTGAAGGTGGTCTAACAAGAGGCTGGGGGAATGAGCCTAATACACGCTGTACTGATGTGCGACATCCCGTAGACCTGGTTGGGTGTTAAGTGTGTAGGACCCTATTGTGTTTATTTCAGACGAAACTTCTTCTTTTCCGGACAAAGACCTAGCTATAATAGTAATCATCGGCCATCCGGCATTATCGACATTTTTCACGGAACGAACAAGTTTAGTTATGACCCTCCCCCACCCACCCACCCCCATGAACTGAAAAATATATTGACTTGACAGCTAGAATAGACTGATGTTTCAGCTATCAATATTTTTCATAACGAAACTCTCCTCAACCCACCCACCCATGAACGAAACCTTTTTCTCTTCGTGAAAAACATCGATAATTACGGATGGCCCCCAAGTACACGGTGTACAGATATCTAAAGTCCGGCTAACTGGTTAACTGGTTAACTGGCTAACTGGTTAACTGGCTAACTGGTTAACTGGCTAACTGGCTAACTGGCTAACTGGTTAACTGGCTAGCTAGAGCAGTGGTAACACACCTGCAGAGAATCCTCCTGTCGCTGAACCCAGCGTATTGTCGTCAGTGAGCGCAGCTGAAACACAGACAGCACGGCAAAGACAGTGAAGTGAACTGGTGGAGAAACATAGGTAGATAAATACACACAAAATGCACAATGGAGTTTGACAGAGTTGCGACAACTCTGTCAAACTCCATTGTGCATTTTGTGTGTATTAGTGCTCCACATTATTGTGTCGAGCCCTCTCCGCTGGCACAAGGAAAGAAGTTTTCCTCCTAGTAGATAGATCGATAGGTAGATAGATAGAGAGATAGATAGAGCGGGGGAGGGATTTTCTCCGATACAGTGGTTCGGTTACTGTGGAGATAAGATGAAACTGGACTCCTCCAGGAGACCAAATAGGCAAAAACGGCAATATAAATGAACAGGCGGAGATATTATGCTTGTGATACGAGCGCGCACCTAATATTATTCATCGCCATAAATGAACATGCACTATAATGAAGAAAAAAATCGACGGGTTCGCGTACCGGGCAGGTCAAGAACAAGGAGTCGTACAATTCCCTGGTCAAGAACCACCTTTCCGCTATAATGAACATTCACTATAATGAACAGTCAGTGCACCTGATCTGGGGAAAGGATTGGCCATGAGACTCGGGCAAGTGAAATACGTTGCAAACTAGATATGTTGTTCTATGCACTGTCCTCTCCGGCGGGAGCAACAACAGCGGACAACTTCACACGGTGCACAGGAAACTGATCAAGACTAGCAAGTACACCCGCAACCGCACAACGCGACAGAGCAGAATGCAGCAGAGCAGAATGCAGCAGAGCAGAATGCAGCAGAGCAGAATGCATCAGAGCAGAATGCATCAGAGCAGAATGCAGCAGAGCAGAATGCAGCAGAACAGAATGCAGCAGAGAAGAATGCAGCAGAGCAGAACGCAGCAGAACAGAACGCAGCAGAGCAGAATCCAGGAGAGAAGAGCCCAACACAAGAGAGAGAGAGAGAGAGAGAGAGAGAGAGAGAGAGAGAGAGAGAGAGAGAGAGAGAGAGAGCAAACCGGAAAGTACCACATACCTGAGTCACCTGCAGTGATCTCGCATCCTTCTTCCACAGTGCCTGGATCTTGCTTGTCCCTTCGTCGCGGCCATTTAAACCAAGCTTTACTACTTGAGGCGGTGGCTGAAGGTAATGTTTCACTGCACAAATCAAATAAACGAAGAATACCACAAGGAAGAGTGTTTGTACCATATAAACTGTTGGTCCATACAATACATGAACACCTCCAACTGTTGTGGAGGCTATCAGGCAACCTCAATAATTTCTTGCCATATCTATACTGCGGGTATGTAATCAAATGTTTGCCTGAGCCTTTTTGTGGGTTCGTAAACGACTTTTAATAGCAGATTACCATGGCACAGCATCCATTTTTGTACTGCCGTGGACATGGAAATCTGGTCGCAGGTCAAGCGGCCCTGGGCGCTGGCCATGCAACCGTGAGTACGCATACGATCAACATGTACACTGACTGTGCATGCTACGTTCTGTACTACGCGCTGAGGGCGCCAGCCACGGTCATTCGATCGGATTTCCACATCCACGCCAGTACTTCTACTGGCTGATTACCTTGAATTGCTCTTCATATTCTGGAACACAATTCGTGGGTTCACAAAATTTAAGGATGCTATGACTATCATCACCAGCAGCACTATCGCCATCACCATCAGCACCAGCATCAGCATCATCACAACCGGCAGCAGCAACAGCAAAAAACTAGCAAAATCATCACCAGCAGCACCACCAGCAGCACCAGCAGCACTATCAACATCAGCACTATCAGTCACCATCAGCATCACCAGCAGCACTATCACCATCAGCATCACCAGCAGCACTATCACCAGCAGCATCACCAGCAGCACTATCACCAGCAGCACTATCACCATCAGCATCACCAGCAGCACTATCACCATCAGCAGCACCACCACCAGCACTATCACCATCAGCAGCACCACCAGCACCAGCAGCACTATCACCAGCAGCACTATCACCATCAGCAACAGCATCAGCAGTGCCAGTAATAGCAATAGGAGTGGCAGCGACATGATGGTGATGGCTATATCAATAGCAGCAACAAGAACACCATCACCACACACCATCACCACACACCAGCACCAGCACCACACATCAGCACCACACACCAGCACCAGCACCAGCACCACCACCACAATCACCACACACCACCAGCACAACACACCACCATCACCACACACCACTACCAGCACCACACACCACACACCACCACCATCACCACACACCACCACCACCATCACCACACACCACCATCACCGCACCACCACCACCACCACCATCACCACCACACCACCACCAACACCACGACAATGACGACGACAACAACAACAACAACAACAACAGCAACAACAACAACAGCAACAACAGCAACAACAGCAAGATATTGATATGAAAACCAAAGGAAAGAACTCACGTTGACGACGTGGATACGACACTGCTCCGCTCTTTAGAGATGGACCATCGCTTGGATTGTTGCCCTGGCAACATGGACTCCGGCGACGTACCTAGCTTAGAGTCTGATCGCGAGTGAGCAGCCACGGGAGATACATTGCTACTGGACGCGCTGTTGCAACTATCGGCCATGCTAAACTTGCGAGGAGACGGGGATGAGTTGGGAGCACTGGCAACGGAGTGAGTGCGCTGGTCACATGTAGCGTGTGAAGCAGCGGCGATGGCGGCTGTGGAGGTGGAGGTGGGGGACGTCGTACAACTAGCGTTGGCATTGGACGCCTGTGCTTCGGAGCTGAACACACGCTTTAGTGGAGCAGAGCTGAGCAAGAACAAGAAAGAGAAATAGCAAATCAGTGTCTGCTCCAGGATTTCAAACCAACCGGGTACACGTGTACCTGGCACAACCATTGCAACCAGGTCAGAGTCGGGTCAGAGTCGGGTCAGAGTCGGGTGGGAGTCGGGTCGGAGTCGGGTGGGAGTCGGGTCGGAGTCGGGTGGGAGTCGGGTCAGAGTCGGGTCAGAGTCGGGTGGGAGTCGGGTGGGAGTCGGGTGGGAGTCGGGTGGGAGTCGGGTGGGAGTCGGGTGGGAGTCGGGTGGGAGTCGGGTCAGAGTCGGGTGGGAGTCGGGTGGGAGTCGGGTGGGAGTCGGGTCAGAGTCGGGTGGGAGTCGGGTACATTCAAGTGCTCCTACTGCATGTACATAAGACTATGATCGGGGAATTGTAAATATTTTAGAGGTCCCTGATGTGCAACGTATTCCCAATCGGGTCACAGGTACCGTATTTCCCCCGATTGTAAGTCGCACCTTTTTTTATACTAAACCTCTAGGGCAAAGAAGGGGGTGCGACTTACAATCGAGTGTGACTTCTTACGTATGTGAATGCATTGAGACGATTTGGTTCGGACGTGAGAATGGGCTGCGACTTATAATCGGGGGAATACGGTAACCCGGTGTTCTTTTTTCAAACGGGTTCAAGTACCTCTCACCCGGGCCACTGACATGGCTGACCCGGCTTTAGAGCAGACACTGCAAACGTGTGCAAGAACTTCAACGTGATACCACACATGTCAGATGAGCAGAAACAGGAACCATCACAAATTGCATTCAGTGAAGATGAAACGGAAGCTACGGAACTGCAGTCACGACCATCCGGTTCTCTGCCCGCCTGCGTGTGTGTGTTTGTGCATGGGAAAGTGTGTGTGTGTGTGTGTGTGTGTGTGTGTTTGTGCATGGGAAAGTGTGTGTGTGTGTGTTTGTGCATGGGAAAGTGTGTGTGTGTGTGTTTGTGAACGTGTGAATGCGTCCGTGTGTGTCTAGGCAGAAGAACCAGCACAGTTGCAAACTTACTTGATGTCTTGAGCCGACGCTTTCCGCTCTTTACGACGAGCTATCAGCGCCTCAAGTCTCTCCTCCGTCTCCTTGTCTGTGCCATTGTGCAGCATGCATACACACACACAGGCACACACACACAGGCACACACACACAGGCACACACACACACACACACACACACACACACACACACACACACATGCACACACACACGAGGAAGAAGAAAAGTGAAGAGACAGGATTCCAGGCTTCATATCAATCTCAACGTCATGACATGTAACACCACACATTCGAAAGTTTGCAGTTCCTCGCGTAAAACATATCAATGCTGGTGTTGGACTTTGCTCGCACACCTGTCACCTTCAGCAAACCTCTGTTTCGTGACAACGCAACGGTGTAAAGAAAATTAAGTTTCTATTGAGAGAGGTGGCCTTTCCACACAGGTCAGCTATCTGATGGTGTTCGTTGAGATACAGTCTGGGTGGTCTCCCAAAGCAGGTGACCTCTCATAGCAGGTGACCTCTCATAGCAGGTGACATCTCTGTACGTGTATATGTGTGTATGCGTACAGTAAAACCTGTCAAGAAGACCACCTGTCCAAGAAGACCACTGAACCCAGGATCAGGGATGCTATTTCCAGTCAAATAACCCTGGATAAGGAGACCACATTTTGAAGGTCCCTTGAGCGGCGGTCCTCTTAGACAGCTGTTTCACTGTACTTCAGTACTGTAAACGTCCGTACTAATAAGTACAGTAGGTATTTACTTTCGAATTTAGTGACCACACCCGTACTAACTTTCGGGCACGAACTGACTTTTGGACCTGACTTGTGTGTAGTGGAGAAGTCATTTTCATGCCGATGTACATGCTACGTGCTGCATGTGCGCACCGTACCAGTACTTATTTCGGGCAGTATGTTTATCGGGCTTGACTTGACTTCAACAGACAGAGCCAAAAGAATGAAGGGGGTATTTCTTTCGCGCAGGTACTTATTTACGGACTTTTACGGTATATTCTGACACATCACATACCGTACAAAATGTACAACCTGATACACGAGCACTATAATAGTGTCAATTCCTGGGCGGGTGCATAGCTCGGCGGGCGCATAGCTCGCATACAGGAGTCGCACGCCCAAGAACGTTGTTTCCAAGGGGTTAGCCCGGGACGTTCTTATTTTTTCAGTAATCTGGCTGCGTTCTGATAGCACGTTCTTAGAAACAGTGCGTACTGGATCATATGTATCCCACAAGCTGCCAGAAAACCAACACCGCCGTTCTTAGCTTCAGGCTGTGTCGTTCTTAGTATTTCAGGCTGGACGTTCTTGGGCTCCACGTTCTTCAGCGAGCGACGCAACTGTAGGAGACGGGGGGGGGGGGGGGGGGAGGGGCACTTGCACTTCCCCTAAACAACTTTCCCTACACAAAATGACCATGATGACATGCACCAGCCATCCTGCAAGTATGAAGCGGCCGTGCCCCCCCCCCCCCCCCCCAAAAGGAGGACGAGCTACGCCCCTACTGCCGGGTGTCAACGGTTGTGAAAGTCCTGGGTGCCAAGTATACACATTGCGTTGGATTTCACCTGACAGTATCATAGTGAAACAAGTCGCACCACCCAGGTGCTGCACCGTGTACAGGTACAAAGTAAAACCCAACCAACACAGGCCAACTCCGGCACACAAGATCTGCGACGTCAGTGTCACCCTGGAAGTTGTGTGAATGCTGAGGGACATGCAGGGGCGTGGGACACGGTACGGTCACTACGGCATTGACCGTACCACTTTTTGTCCCAGGCACCCCGTGGATAAATCAAATGCACTGATCTGGGCTCTAAATTTAAATTTCAAATTTTTTCAGAGGAGCCATCCCAAACCCACAAGCCAATTGTAGTTCAGGTGGCTGACCTGATCACCATAAAAGTGAATACCCTCAGACGCCCCTGACAGGTAATGTGCAAGCTGGGCCAGGCTGCGTAGCTTCATTATTAGAATTGAAGGTACGCACATTATGCAGTATGCAGGTGAGTACACGCGCACGCACACACATGCACACCTCACACATGCGTGTGCGCGCGCACACACACACACACACACACACACACATCACTTGTACTGTCCTTGTTAACTGCCATCAACTGGCCACGTGCGTCTCCCTTTGGGAGAGGGGAGAGAGATGTCTCTCCCTGGCAGCTAAATCAACATGTTGCTCTCGCGCTATTGTACGGTATAAGGAATGGATTGCATACGTATGCATTCACAAGCATGTCACCTATCCAAGTAGTGATGGTGATGCTTCTTGCATTAGACTTCAGGCTGATAATTTTACTCAAACTGTTTAGCCTACACGCGTAGTCAACCATAATAATAATGTTGACACAAAATACTTCAAGCACGTGGCCAAATTCCACATTTTCACATCCATCATCAGCGACATATTAAAATTGAGCCAACCATGATAAATCATGCGATTTCGCCTTCGGTGACCATTGTATTTTGTAATGTATGGGTCATCTGGGGCACATGTGCGAAAAACTAATTACTTGCGTAAGAAACAAACAAAGGCGAGGACAGTGCGAAAAACTGAGGAACTGGCGCAGCAGAAACAGAACTGAACACCAAGACCCAAACGGACAAGCGCTGATGTATCAACAGGAATCTTCAACTCAAATCACACGTTTGCCAAATCAAATTTGTATGGATCTCTCACCTTGCTTCTTGCTGAAGAAAGGCATTTTCAACTCCTTGGCGCTATCCTCCTCGGTTAAAATGGAACGATTTACTTCACCATTATGATGCGATTGTCAGCCCTATCGCCTGCACAGCTTCAGAGTCGGATCAATCCATCCAAGGAAGGACAATATTTTTTCTCTCTGGACCCAGTTCGGCCCTCTGTCCGATAGAATCAGCGTCAGTGCTGTGGAGTGTGGTACGAGCTCGTACTGATATGAGTGCATGCTCTGCCAAGCCAGCAACGCAGTTTCCTTGCATGTTTTGAGAGCAACACCGCGCTGCGCTCGTGTGAGCTGTAGGCCATAGCTGTAGCTAGCCAGTGTAACGCTGCTCTCGATCTTTGACTTTGTTCCTGTCGCGTCGACATGTCGTCGTCGACTCGTCGACTGATGAGTCTGTGCCAGTGCATGGTGTGTGGGGCGTGCATGCTTCAACTGCTTGTACACTTCTACGGCAGCTTGAGTGCGTTGACATGTTTGCGAACTAGTCGATGGTCGACAAACAGTTTTGCGCACGTGCTAGTCTCATTGAGTCATGCATAAAAAGGATCGAATTCGCGAAGTCCAAACTAGTTTCTAACTCCAGATTCGGCCAGGTTATAAGGGGAGTCCAAAATGACTGTGATGATGAGGGTCTCACGCTTTTTATTTTTGTTTGGACTTCCCGTGAACCCACCAGCAGTAAATCGAAGCAAACTCCAAACTCGACAAAACAGCTATCGCTAACAAACTACAAAGGATCGATCCTGCACTGCAGCGCAGGCACATGTTTTGTAGCATCAAGAGTACATAACCTGGTTATGTACTCTTGGTAGCATGCATCTTGGACTTGGGCACAGATCGGGTTGCTGTTCATTTTTTTGTTCTTTGTGATCAGCAGTTTGCAGCAGCATCAGGCAGCCTGTAAACAATTTGGGAGCAGGAGAGAATCGAGCAGGTTTTCTATTTCCCGTGTTCTACCTTCGTTATTTCCTTGGTTGTTGATAGTCGTGTTGTCGACCACTGTTAGTTGGCCGTGCTGGGCCTAGCTAAGGCCGAACAAAGCATTGAAATAATAATGATGTAATTGATTTCTTACAAGTACATGATTGTATTGAATTAGTTAGTACTAGTTGTGATTTGAAAGATCCAGCTGCACGCCTACGACCCATCGTAGGCAGGCCAGTGAGATGTGGTTGAAGCTGCGAGCATTCTTGACTAGGTCTCCGCCGGTGGTGTTGATCCAGCTGGCATTTTTCATCTTCTCGTTCGGTTTGTTCTCTCTGAGTATCTTCATACGGTCAGCGAAAGTTCAAGACTTCCAGTCCGATAAGGTATGGGCAAATGTGCATGCAAATGTTGGTTTGAATTATTATTTAAATTCGCAGGACCAAACGGGCAGAGCTGCTCAATAGCAGGGGGGAGGGGGGCTGTACCGTACTTCTTATTGAATATTGTGCATGCGAATATGCATGGCTGTACTTGTTATGTACTTAAGTTTGTCATTTTGATTTCCTTTGATCTCTGGAGTAGTAGTAGGGTGATGAAGATTGCAGTATGCTGGTACAGTACTCGAGCACCCGAAGTCACTGTGACCAAGAGCGTAGCTGGTCCAACTTTTAGGGGGATGCACGATGATTATATTCATGACTCAGGTCGTGCTGTAACAATTACACAGTGGTGCGTAGTGGAGGGCTCGAACTATAGTAGTCCCAGTTCAGGGGCGTCGCACACGCTACGGTCACTACGGTACGGTCACTACGTCACACACGGTACGGTCACTACGATATTGACCGTACCACTATTGCCCCAGGTACCACTATTGCCCCAGGTACCACTATTGCCCCAGGTACCACTATTGCCCCAGGTACCACTATTTGCCCTAGGTACCACTATTGCCCCAGGTACCACTATTGCCCCACGTACCACTATTTGCCCCAGGTACCACTATTTGCCCCAGGTACCACTATTGCCCCAGGTACCACTATTGCCCCAGGTACCACTATTGCCCCAGGTACCACTATTTGCCCCAGGTACCACTATTGCCCCAGGTACCACTATTGCCCCAGGTACCACTATTGCCCAAGGTACCACTATTTGCCCCAGGTACCACTATTGCCCCAGGTACCACTATTTGCCCCAGTTACCACTATTTGCCCCAGGTACCACTATTGCCCCAGGTACCACCGTGAATCAACAAAATACACTTATCTGGGATCTAAAATTTCAAAAATGTCGGCTCAGCCACCACTCCCCCACGAGTAAATTGTACTTCAGATGGCTGACCGTAGCACACTAAAATATTTTGCGACACCCCTGCAGTTCACCATACCATACAATACAAATAATACCCATCCGCAGATGATGGCAGGTCCTGAAAGGACCGACGGTGTTCCAGTCATGGGGAACAGAACTTCGAGTGGCGAGTGAGGTCCTGGCGACGGCGAAAATCTCGGCCACACGGGCACCTGAAATCACGGACACATGTTCAGGCGGCTGGATGGTGTTACAAGCCAGTCTCTACTCACGCTGGTCCTCGGCTAGGCTGCACCAGTCACGCACCCACACATGCCCCCTCCCCCCCCCCCCCCCCCCCACACACACACATGTGCAGACTGCCGATTTTGGAGGCTTGTCAGGACCTGCCGACAATTGACCTTCTCCTGCCGACAGTTGACCTTCTCCTGCCGACAATAGCCCTGAAAAGTCCAATTTTGACCTTCTTGGTTTAGAAAACATGGTTCAGATTTTTTCTGATCATCACGAGTATTTTCCATAGACAGCTCTCTCCTAAGGTGCTAAGCGATATCATCGTCTGGCTCGAGAAAACCTGGAGTCAGCAAGCAAAGTAGCTTTTATCCAACTGAACAAGACCGGGACACTCAGCCTTCGAACTATTTGAAGTTAGTAGTTCGATCGGACGCTCAATTATTTTGACTTTTGTCAGTACGACCGTACTCATGCAGTATATGCGCACTGCACTTGCACCTCGTGCCGGTGCACCAGCAGTGCATGCACACACTCGTAGTGTGTGTGTATTATACACACACACGTGCGCATACACACACACACACACACACACACTTGTACTTGTACTTGCTCGCTGCCAAAACTGGTCACGTGGGTCTCCCCGGGAGAGGGGGAGAGACTCAAAAGGAATCTTGCAAAGATAACTCAATTGGCTATTGAACCACCCAACGGCCGACACCTTCTGAAATCCCCAAACTAGGGTGGACTTGAAATGAATCGACCACCAATGCACACCTGGTCTACACCACACAGATTACATCGGAATAGGACGGCCAAGACAGTTACCCATGCACACCCTACACTTGCTGGGGTAACCAGTATAGACAGCACGCTGCTTTGATAAAAGCAGATGCCAGATGCACTTGTACCTTGAAGTGAAATTGCAGCACACACACACACACACACCACCACCACCACCGCCACCACTTGACAAACTTGCACTGGACCAATAGCAGCAACAGCTGTGAAAAGCTCTGGAATAATTACTCACTTTCCCACCAGCTACCACACCATTCTGTCAGACTATTACTTTTTTTAATTGCTATTCATTTCTAGATGTGTTGTCCCGTATCTCCATCGTGTTGTACCGTATAACCGACCCTAGTGTTTTTTCAAATAAGACTGGTCAGCGGTGAATGCTCACATCACATGTGCGCGTGTGTGCGCGTGTGTGTGTGTGTGCATGTGTGTGTGTGTGTGTGTGTGTTCACGTGCTTGTGTGTGTGCGGTGTGTGTGTGTTGTGCTGCGGCAAAGTGCCATTACGGTGCCTCTTTCACGTGTACCATTCGACATGTATCCATCTGTATATGCATATCCTGTTGTCTGTTGTTCAATCTGTGCCAGTGGATGAACAACTTGTGTTGTATCCATCTGTATATGCATTGCCTGTTGTCTGTTGATCAATCTGTGCCAGTGGATGAACAACTTGTGTTGTATCCATCTGTATATGCATTGCCTGTTGTCTGTTGTTCAATCTGTGCCAGTGGATGAACAACTTGTGTTGTATCCATCTGTATATGCATTGCCAGTTGTCTGTTGTTCAATCTGTGCCAGTGGATGAACAACTTGTGTTGTATCCATCTGTATATGCATTGCCAGTTGTCTGTTGATCAATCTGTGCCAGTGGATGAACAACTTGTGTTGTATCCATCTGTATATGCATTGCCAGTTGTCTGTTGATCAATCTGTGCCAGTGGATGAACAACTTGTGTTGTATCCATCTGTATATGCATTGCCAGTTGTCTGTTGTTCAATCTGTGCCAGTGGATGAACAACTTGTGTTGTATCCATCTGTATATGCATTGCCTGTTGTCTGTTGATCAATCTGTGCCAATGGATGAACAACTTGTGTTGTATCCATCTGTATATGCATTGCCTGTTGTCTGTTGATCAATCTGTGCCAGTGGATGAACAACTTGTGTTGTATCCATCTGTATATGCATTGCCTGTTGTCTGTTGATCAATCTGTGCCAGTGGATGAACAACTTGTGTTGTATCCATCTGTATATGCATTGCCTGTTGTCTGTTGATCAATCTGTGCCAGTGGATGAACAACTTGTGTTGTATCCATCTGTATATGCATTGCCTGTTGTCTGTTGATCAATCTGTGCCAGTGGATGAACAACTTGTGTTGTATCCATCTGTATATGCATTGCCTGTTGTCTGTTGTTCAATCTGTGCCAGTGGATGAACAACTTGTGTTGTATCCATCTGTATATGCATTGCCAGTTGTCTGTTGATCAATCTGTGCCAGTGGATGAACAACTTGTGTTGTATCCATCTGTATATGCATTGCCAGTTGTCTGTTGTTCAATCTGTGCCAGTGGATGAACAACTTGTGTTGTATCCATCTGTATATGCATTGCCTGTTGTCTGTTGTTCAATCTGTGCCAGTGGATGAACAACTTGTGTTGTATCCATCTGTATATGCATTGCCTGTTGTCTGTTGTTCAATCTGTGCCAGTGGATGAACAACTTGTGTTGTATCCATCTGTATATGCATTGCCAGTTGTCTGTTGTTCAATCTGTGCCAGTGGATGAACAACTTGTGTTGTATCCATCTGTATATGCATTGCCTGTTGTCTGTTGTTCAATCTGTGCCAGTGGATGAACAACTTGTGTTGTATCCATCTGTATATGCATTGCCTGTTGTCTGTTGTTCAATCTGTGCCAGTGGATGAACAACTTGTGTTGTATCCATCTGTATATGCATTGCCTGTTGTCTGTTGTTCAATCTGTGCCAGTGGATGAACAACTTGTGTTGTATCCATCTGTATATGCATTGCCTGTTGTCTGTTGTTCAATCTGTGCCAGTGGATGAACAACTTGTGTTGTATCCATCTGTATATGCATTGCCTGTTGTCTGTTGTTCAATCTGTGCCAGTGGATGAACAACTTGTGTTGTATCCATCTGTATATGCATTGCCAGTTGTCTGTTGATCAATCTGTGCCAGTGGATGAACAACTTGTGTTTGTGTGTGACAAGCGCCTAGCCCGCATGGAGCAAGGAGGGCACGTGCCCCCCCCCCCCCCCCCCCCCCCCCCTCGCCTACTACAAATTGTAGGTTCAGCATGCACATAATGACCATGAAGACATACGCCAGTCATCCTACATGTAGGCTTCACGTAATGATACAGCTGCCGCGCCCCTGAATGTGTGTGGGCACACGTTGCTATGGCTTCTGCTGTAGCATCGATATCATCGCTGGGCATCAAAGGTCAAGTGTGTGTGCGTGTGTGTGTGTGTGTGTGTGTGCTTGTGTGTGTGTGTGTGTGTGTGTTGTCACCAATGCAGGCATGGTCTCATGTTTACGGGGATCTCAGCCAGTCCTACATGTGTGCCCCTGCCCTGGAGCACATCAGTACACTAAGCACGGCACTGGAACCCGACAAAAGGACATCGCATTACCAACATATTCGTCTGGATAACGGCGTGTGCGTAGCACCCCTTGATGCTGCTGCTGCTGCCGCTGCAGGGAAAGGAACGACGAAACCACCAGCCGCAGCAGCAGTAGGCGCAAATCCACCACCAGCAGCCACAGCAACAGGTGCAAAGTCCCCGACAGCACAAGGCACCAAAACATCGCGAGCAGCAGTAGAAGCCAAGACGATTGCAGCCAAGACGGCTAAGGATATCGCAGCAAATGCGGCGGCGGCGGCATCAAAGACAGGCAGCAGCTCAGCAACCCGTCATCGGCGCGGTGTGTCTGTGGCTAGTCCACTCGACGAAACTCCCCTGGAACGTTCCATACTGGATACGGTATGGAAGAGAGCTGTCAAACCTCACATGAAGGTCGGCAAGTCATCCAGGTCAGGTGACACGGTGAATACCAGAGCAAATCCAGCTAACCATGCTAAGCCCAAGAAGAAAGCTAGCAAGAAACACAAGAAGAAGAAAGCGAAGAAGTTCAAGCGTATTCTACATAGTGTGGTGCTGCTATGGGCATTGACTAGTCAGAAAGCGTGTGCGTGGAAGGAAGCCATTGCTGGTAATGTGTCAATCATCCATGTCGGCGGAACCGTCTGTGGATCGCAGCTAGGGATGACCGGTGAGTGATCACCTCCTTGTGTGTGTGTGCGCGCGCGTGTGTGTGTGTGTGTGTATGTGTGGGTGTTGATGCGTGCGTGCATGTGTGCACGCGCTAGAATGCAGAATGTTCGGGAGTTCAATGCCTCTCTTCTGGTGTGCCTGCATCGAAGAAAGACTTGGCTGAAATGCCACAATATTTAATTCTTCTTTTTCTGTTAAATTTGAAGCCATCCTCCCCTGCCCTCTCTCTCTCTCTCTCTCTCTCTCTCTCTCTCTCTCTCTCTCTCTCTCTCTCTCTCTCTCTCTCTCTCTCTCTCTCTCTCTCTCTCTCTCTCTCTCTCTCTCTCTCTCTCTCTCCCCCCCCCCCTCCCCTCTGACGGGTGCTGGTATATGTGACGTTTCGACAATAAATGTCTTCTTAGAATCGCAATGAATAGTGGTTCAGTGGGTCACGTGACCATATCCACATGTGATACATCATTTTGATCAGTGTATCACAGTGCACACACCTATGCTACTCTAGCAGGACTCATGTGCCTGGGGTCCTCAGACCTGTCAAGTGTCGTGCATGCACCATGTACATCTACACTTCCTGCACTGATGTGTAGATCTACCATGCATGATGCACCATGCATGGTGCATCATGCATGGTGCATCATGCATGGTGCATCATGCAATGCGTACATGCACTAGCACTGGCGGGTGTCGTCGGTCGCGTTGAGCGAGTAGTCGCCTTATCCGAGCTGTTTTGAACGTGAATGCGTTCGTGACATGGAACAGTGGTCACCATGGTCGAGTGGTCGCCGTATCCGAGTGGTCGCCATTACAGGTTTTACTGTAGTACCGAATGTGCGGTCATTAGGAATATGCATAGACCGGTACATACAATACTAATGCAACGGTTTGGTTTGGTTTCTCGTGATCGTCTTCAGTCAGACTACATCACTGAATGGTGAACAAAGATGATCAAGGTCTTTTAAACAAGTGCAGTCAGTGATGTAATCTGACTTAAGACCATCACGAGAAAACTTTCTCAGAGAAACCAAACCGTTCCATCGCTGATGTGCGTATATATTATGCATGTTCATAAAGACTGCGCATGTTTGTTGGATAAGAAGACCACCTGGTCACGGCGACCACTTTTTCTCGTCCCTTGAGGGGTCGCCTTAGACATGTTTCACCGTAGTCATTGTGATTCTTAGATTATTATCTACTGGTCCACTTTTCAAATGTCTTCTTCAGAAAGATATTAATAGACTGGGCAGAGCAGGGTTAAGATAAGGGGAGGAGTGTGCCAAAGTGCTGCGATGATTTCTACTAGGAGCAAACATGCCTGCCCGTCTGTATGTCTGTACGGATGTATGTCCGTCTGTATGTCTCTCTGGCCATCTGTATGTCCGTCTGTATGTCCGTCTGTATGTCCGTCTGTATGTCAGTCTATCTGCCTGTCTGTTTGCCTGTCCTTTTCTCTCCTTTCATAGTAGTATTTTGTTCATTCTGTGTGCATGTGGGTGTGCTTGCGTGCGCGCGCACGTGTGTGTGTCCAGATGGCAATATGTCCCGCGTTTCGTTTCTGGGCGAGCTACCCATGTCAAAGTGTAAGGTATTTGGTGTGTGTGGCTTCACTAGTCTATTTGCTGCGAAAACCAGTACACTCGAACGTCTCTTATCCGGGGGGCGCCTTGGGACCGGGCACTGCCCGTATCTCAGATTTGCGCGTATCTCCGAACAGCTCATCTACCATGTATCATACCAGTTTTTGAAGACGTGCACATGTTCAGAATAAAAAAATAATCAATTGTTGAATATGTGTTGATTACACAGGTTGGAAGTGACAAGTAAGAACTTGTGCATACGAAAAAAAAGAAAGAAAAAAGAGAGTTCTAAACCCCAAAATTCGAAGCATTTTTGCCATATGAACTCAAGCTGAAGGTACCCGGTAGAGAGACGTGCCCGTATCTGAGGCGTCCGGATAAGAGATGTTTGAGTGTACTGTAAACCCCCTGATTTTGCCGACACATAAACCTAAGAGTGAATTTAGGGAATCGGTCAAATTCGCTAAAGTTCGGGGTCTCGAATCACCAGAACGGTACTATCACATACATGTGCATAGCACCGCATACCTAGTACAGTCGACCTACTCTTATAACGATATTTGCGTCACACCAAGAAATATGTTATAAGGGTAATATTGTTATAGGGGTAACTGGTTTATTTCATACACATACGTCATAATGCATGGATTTCGTTTATTTTTAACACTCTTCATAGCATAAAAAACTGACGTACATGCACATTCTGTGCACAGCAAGATGCCCACTGCCGCACTGGTGCCCCATTGCATTTCGTTCTGTCCCAGCGACTTATCAAGTGAAGCTTGCCCTACCTGGATAGTGGGCTCTACATATTCCCTGCTAGATATTGTTATAAAATGGAAAATGTCGATTGGTCAGCCCATTTTATATCGTTATAGGGGTAATATCGTTATAGCAATATTGTTACCGAAGGATGTACCCAGAGTGCTGACAGTGCTCAACACCACAAAGGCAGAGCGTAATACACAACAGAACAACAAGGACAATCAATGCTTGTTTGCTGCTACTTTTAGCATGAAACTTAAAGGAGCAGCAAACAAGCCTTGATTGTCCTTGTTGTTCTGTTGTGTAGCAATATTGTTACATGTACCTGTCTATGTTACTGTGTAGTAACTCAGTTATCTTTCTTCGGAGCTTTTTTTCTTCCTTTCGTCACGAGTACACATGGGCCTCAACCAGCGAAAACAGCCCTTAGGGTCAAATTTTTCAAAATTCTTTTTCGGTTAGAAATTTGTTGAAACACATATACTGAAGGACCTCAACCAAGAAAAAGTTCAATATTCCGATTCAAAACGGGTGTGTACACTAATATACAAGGTGTACTCCAAATTGATGCAATGTATGTATACGATGTACGTGTACAATAAACATTCAGCATTCTAAGGTGGATAGGCAGCTTGAATACCTTGAAATAGTGCAGTAAGCAGCTAGAATGACAAAGAATAGCTGAAGAGTGTGGAGACATGATCGACTTATTTGCAGCTGCATCCTGCGTGGAGTCGTTCCGCAATGTCTTCCATTTCTTCCTCCGCAGCTGGCGACACGACGTCGCTGCTGTCACTAGCCCCAGAGTCAGAATTTATCTCAGGTGATGACTCCTCATCTTCCGACTCTGACGAGTCATCGACCACCTTGAGCCGCAACGCAGATGGCGGCTGCGATTCCGCCTCGCTGTCGACATCGATGTCGGAACCAAAGAACGTCTCATCCTCACTCTGAACTTCAGCGGCTACTTCAGCATCCACTCCCCACCAGGCTTGAGCTAGCTGTACACAATGACTGAAAAAATTACGAAACCTCTAAGGGTCGTTTTCGCTCATATACTGTTGGTCTACATGTAGTAGCAAGAGTAGATAAACCAGAGTGTGCAACTGTGCATATCAGATCTGAAACAGCGCAGTTCGTGCACTACGTCACCCTGATGAGGTCAGCCAAGCCGCGACTTGCGTACAGCTCAAATTTTCATGTTTCATAGCCCGGAAATCAGCCAAGTTTGCTTGATTTTAGACGTCCTGTTTCAGGATTTCGGTGTTTTGTGTGACTGTGTACGCTGCGTACATCCACCGACAAGTAAAGTCACCAGGCTATCCGTATCAAAAACCGAAATCAGGACAAACTCAGTGACCTGCACCACCGCGACTGGTTACGCAACTTTTCACCGTACCTTTGGCTTACCATGCCGTCAGAAATGACGTAGTGCACGAATTACGCTCTCACAGGAACCATCCCGAGTTGCACACTCTGGTTTATGTACTCTTGGTACTCAGGGGACACGATAAGATTTCGAAATTGCTCTGACACAATGTCCTGCCACTTCTGGAACCGGTCGGACATGGCCGGACACTGTGATTTTTTTTACAAGTCTGGTACTCAGCACTCATAATAAAAAATAATTGTTATTATTGGCTACACGACACCACTGCTTATATAATGCACACATGCATGTACCGGTACATGCTACATCACCCTGTGGTATACCGTATTGCTGGTCACATCAAGGATGATCATCACACTGATCTCCAGTATTGTAACTCTGATTCAAATCGCTGTGCGTTTTTCAGCAAGCATAGTAACTGTGATATGAGTGTGCAGTGTTTCTGCACATTTCGGATTTGACCTGGGTTTTCAGCGGCAGATCAAAGACATTCATTTTTACGCAGTCGACAAAAGACAAAGTGGGCATCCGCTTGCCCATTCTAACTTCTTGTTGCCAACTCCAAGATCGACAACATGTCACTACTCGAGTTGGCTGAAGGCTCCCATCTTTGCAAACGCGATGTGCTCTTTGAACAGCACGTAGTTTCTACGCGACGTTGAACTTCTGACTTATTTCGCTGCTGCTGCTCCGTCGATCTTGCACAGCGCCTGTGCAACAGGAGCGTACTTGACTGGATTTGCAGAAGACTGCTCCTTTCGATAGAGGCATATCGCAAGCTGGCACACATTTCTGACGCCTTGTTTCCCTGGAACAGGGACGTTTTCAATATTTCGGATTGTACAAGCGCCTCGCGGAATAGTCCCTATTGTAGCGAGAAAGGAAGAAATTTCATTTCAAAACTCCTCGATCGTTTGCTACGCTCAAACTGGAGCTACACTGAAGTGGACAGCTCCCTGTCTTGCTGTAAAACCCTGTTGTCAAAGGTTGCTGCTCTGACTTCGTGAGACTTCTTCCCAGGCAGAGCGCCATTGTCCTCAGCCGTTCTCTTTCCCAGCGACGCTATTTTGTGAATTTCGATCGGACAGATTGTCCGTTCAAGAAAAAAAGCACCGGATTCGAATCGAAAATGGTCGGAAAATGTCCGATGTCCGACCGTTATCGTGTGCCCTGGTACTAGTAGTACTCCGTTGGCTCACGTTACCCAAACAACTGTTTACTCCCATCGCTAAAATTAAAGGTCACTAAACGTAGATTTTTCATCCAGCGCATGCGCCGAGTGTGAACAGCAACTGAATCGAGCGGTTGTCAGTTGACAAACCCTCTTTTAAAGAGTTGGTGGACAAGCCGTTGATTATTCACTCTCATTGTAATATCAAAAAAGTATTCTTTCTAGACCAAAGAGTGGTATATTTGACAACATTTAATAACGATAGAAATTTTTACGATACTTCTCCAGACGTTTCGTTGTTCTGAACAACATCGTCAGTGGATAAAGAACTGACGATGTTGTTCAGAACAACGAAACGTCTGGAGAAGTATCGTAAAAATTTCTATCGTTATTAAATGTTGTCAAATATACCACTCTTTGGTCTAGAAAGAATACTTTTTGAAACCCTCTTTTCTTGCTAAATATATTGGTCGCTAAAATGAGGGTTTTTATACAGTACAGTCAAATCTGTCGTAAGCGACCGCCGCCCCTTGGTGCAAGAAAAAGCGGTCTCTTACGGCAGATGTATGGTAAATCCGGCATACCGGGCATGCATATATGCTTCCATGTACTCAAATCGACGAGAATAATGTGATTTTTAGTATCATTTTATTGGATATTCAATAGAATATAGGGGTGCCAGGGCCAGTCGATCGCACTTGCAAGACAGCGCATTTTCACACCTTGCAGTTGACAGCGCACTGGCAAGTACAGTTTCGCACCTGACTGAACGACATACGTGGGTCGCGGTCGCGGTCGCTTACATGTATACAGCAGATTTGAATGCAGCCACCATGCATGAAATCGCGGTCGCTGGTCGCGCACAGCAGATGGTCGCTCTGGACAGATCAATTTGTATGTGAAACCGTCGGTGCACGGAAAATCGGTCGCTAACGGTAGATGGTCGCCTACAGCAGAGGTCGCTAACGGTAGATGGTCGCCTACAGCAGAGGTCGCTAACGGTAGATGGTCGCCTACAGCAGAGGTCGCTAACGGTAGATGGTCGCCTACAGCAGAGGTCGCTAACGGTAGATGGTCGCCTACAGCAGAGGTCGCTAACGGTAGATGGTCGCCTACAGCAGAGGTCGCTAACGGTAGATGGTCGCCTACAGCAGAGGTCGCTAACGGTAGATGGTCGCCTACAGCAGAGGTCGCTAACGGTAGATGGTCGCCTACAGCATAGGTCGCTAACGGTAGATGGTCGCCTACAGCAGAGGTCGCTAACGGTAGATGGTCGCCTACAGCAGAGGTCGCTAACGGTAGATGGTCGCCTACAGCAGAGGTCGCTAACGGTAGATGGTCGCCTACAGCAGAGGTCGCTAACGGCAGATTTGACTCTACTTGTTTTTTGGCTTTTTTTTTACTAAGTCCACTATAAGACATGTGAACTCAGTGGTGTGAAGCAAGCCTCAATGGTGTACGGCAATTCCCGACTTCTTCACCATCTTTAGAAAGTTTAATTAAAATAGAAGAAATCACATGGAAACGAGTTATGAAGCAACTGTCCACGACTGTAACAAGATAATACGCAGTCAGAAAGTGCGATAACAGGGCACAAAACTGACGGGCTACTGAGACATTCAACGACATGATTGTGATTGCTTCTATTTTATTTGTATTTACTGGCTCCGTATCCGAGTTACATTTATAGAGGTTCCATGGAGATAAAAATGACTCTATTCATTGCACTCAGATCTTTTGACAGGAGGGGGGTCATTTTCCGTGACTAAGCATATGTCACTGGCGCCATGGCGCGGACTACAGCCCACAGACTGTAATCATGTTATTAAGAGTACTTGGGCCATGGTACTGCGGTGGACATAGAAATCGGGTGGAATGATCACGGCTGGCGGACGGCCTTACTTGCTTAGCGCTTACACACACTGTGAAGCAGGATTCACAGAAGCAGTTTTGCAATGCGACGCACGATGCGACGGCCGCGAAACCGGGAAATCCCCAAATCGCACCCACTGCGCAGCTCTCGCAAACCGGCCCATCGCACAAGTTGAGCTTGGCTCAGCTTTTGCGATGGGCCAAGCGATACGGCGTACGATGTTGACCTTTTCTGCAGCAAACTTGTACAAAGGTTCCAGAGTTGCTTATAGATTTGTAAAAGTTGTACGAAGCCATGCAAATACCACTGTGATGTGGTCACCAGCACTGGACTTGGCGCCTAATCCGCAAAGCGACGTCGCATCGGCAGACTTCTTCTGTGTATGGCATTTCGTGAGTTCGCATCGCACGCCCGATGACATGCGCATGATCTGTACGTTGTGTGTGTGTGTGCGCGCGTCTGTTCTTTGCACGTGCGTGTCTGGATGTTGTGTGTGTGTGTGTGTGTTCACCTCAATTATTCTCCTTGTTTTTTTTTTCTCGCTGTTGTCTCCCGCTTCTGGGAGCGACGTGGCCATTTTGTGGCAGTTGTACATAGTAGCAAGAGTACATAACCCCCCAGAGTGTGCAACTCCCACATACCCTGTTGTCCCGACAGAATTTCAAGTTGACGTCATTATTTATGACGCAATGCTCCTTGCAGCAGTGATTTACAACATGTGTACGGGTGTCAACGCATCACACGTTTTTCTTTGCAATAATTTGTGCAGGATCGATCGGCTTCGGTCAACCACAGGTTCCGGATTCGTCTGATAATCCGTGTACAGTGCGCATTGCATCATCAAAATGACGTCAACTTGAAATTCTGTCGGGACAGCACCCATAGTGGAGTTGCACACTCTGGGGGGTTATGTACTCTTGATAGTAGTAGTAGTAGTGTCTGTGTGTGTGTGTGTGAAAAATAGGGATTCACTGGCTAGAAAAAGTCACTTCAAACAGCTGTGTGGTGGATACCAGGCTAAAAATAGTGGCGGTCAATTCATCAGCCTTGCAAGCTGTTGAATGGTGTAATCCCAGCACAAGTTGCTATGTCTAACATAGCTGTTCGCTATCATCGCTCCCGCAATGGGCATGTCTGAGGTCTGAGGTGTGTGTGTGTGTGTCTGTTCTTTGCACGTGCGTGTCTGTACATTGTGTGTGCGTGTCTGTACGTTGTGTCTGTGCGTGTCTGTTCTTTGCACGTGCGTGTATGTTCTTTGCACGTGTGTGTACGTTCTTTGCACGTGTGTGTACGTGTCTGTTCTTTGCACTTTCCCCAGTGGATGAATGCTGCCGGCGGAAATCTGACAAGAAGACGGGTGATACGGACTGTACGGAGGAAATCAAAACGTGTGTCTCGACTTGGTTATCATCTGACAGGCTTCCACCGTTGACAAGGTACTGAGACGGTACTACCGGTATACGCCTATTGCGCAATGACGTAATTTGTACCGTAAACACCCCACACAGCCACACCTGGGTGTGTTGAACAGTGCATTGCTGATCCCAGCGTACTCACATAACACCCCACACAGCCACACCTGGGTGTGTTGAACAGTGCATTGCTGATCCCAGTGTACTCACATAACACCCCACACAGCCACACCTGGGCATGGTCATCTGGGGTGTTGAACAGTGCATTGCTGATCCCAGTGTACTCACATAACACCCCACACAGCCACACCTGGGCATGGTCGTCTGGGTGTGTTGAACAGTGCATTGCTGATCCCAGTGTACTCACATAACACCCCACACAGCCACACCTGGGCATGGTCGTCTGGGGTGTTGAACAGTGCATTGCTGATCCCAGTGTACTCACATAACACCCCACACGGCCACACCTGGGCATGGTCGTCTGGGGTGTTGAACAGTGCATTGCTGATCCCAGTGTACTCACATAACACCCCACACAGCCACCCCTGGGCATGGTCGTCAGGGGGTGTTGAACAGTGCATTGCTGATCCCAGCGTACTCACATAACACTCCACACAGCCACCTGGGCATGGTCGTCTGGGTGTGTTGAACAGTGCATTGCTGATCCCAGCGTACTCACATAACACCCCACACAGCCACACCTGGGCAGGGTCGTCTGGGTGTGTTGAACAGTACATTGCTGATCCCAGCGTACTCACATAACACTCCACACAGCCACACCTGGGCATGGTCGTCTGGGTGTGTTGAACAGTGCATTGCTGATCCCAGCGTACTCGCATAACACTCCACACAGCCACCTGTGCATGGTCGTCTGGGTATGTTGAACAGTGCATTGCTGATCCCAGCGTACTCACATAACACTCCACACAGCCACACCTGGGCATGGTCGTCTGGGTGTGTTGAACAGTACATTGCTGATCCCAGTGTACTCACATAACACCCCACACAGCCACCCCTGGGCATGGTCATCTGGGTATGTTGAACAGTGCATTGCTGATCCCAGTGTACTCACATAACACTCCACACAGCCACACCTGGGCATGGTCATCTGGGTGTGTTGAACAGTGCATTGCTGATCCCAGCGTACTCACATGCAGTACTCAGCTATGTGTACAGTATGAAGTATGATATGTGTACAGTGTCACCTAGGAGGTGTGTATCAAAGTTACCAATCATTGAGGAGCCACTATGTTTCCCAAGCCCCCCGTCCCCTACATTTTTTCCTGGCTAGAACCGTGAGTGATTGTATGGAAGAAGACTCCGGTTGTACCATTGTGATAATTATGGCAATCCAATTGTGTTAGTTAGAATTGCATGCTGTAGCAAACTGTGAGTATTGAGAGAGGAAAGCAATTCAACACGTCTCACACCTTTCCTGGTTCTATGCTATTGCAACCACATAGGAGTCCCCCGGCGTGCAAGGCGTTTGATGAGTTGCACCTTCCCTGGCTTCCAGTCTACTCGCACAAATCCATGAAAACTGGCGCCGGCCTGTGTGCCAACACCACGGCTGTATATACCCCAAAGCCGAGGAAGTTCCATCAGAAGTCGTTTCTCTTCGACATCACAGTCACTAAGGTTAGTGGTACAGCTAACCGCTGTGTCAGTCTTGGCTCTTGAATGTTTTCTACTTGTGTACACGGTGTGTTTGTCTATGGTATACAGCTTACCAGCACACGCAGCACAGAAGCCATGTAATTTTTTCGACTAGGCCTTTCATTCCATTACTCTTCAGGTCGAATACAATGGTGATTAACAAGGCAGTAAGCAATATAGAGGTTACACGATTACATGATCAATGGAGATGCTTGGGGGAAGTCGCGCATTCGCGGCACAGTGCTGCACTTGCGTTGACGAATCGCACTGTATACTAAGCGCCTATTAGAGAAACCGCCATGAAATCATTCGCGTAACCTCTATTTGTCACGAGGGACACATGGATGCAGCGAACGGGATATTCGGTCTTTGACCACTTAGTGGCAGGTATGATCTACTCACCTCCCACCGCTTTAGGAGCTGCATCTGTGCCTTGATCCACAGAGGGTAGTGACTGTGTTCCTACGGATGTGGAATACTCAGTCTGACCCAAGGCTCACGCGACCTGTGAATTTATTTTATTCTATTGGTCCCTTGTGCAAAGTCCTCTCGCTGCTTTCCTAGTTTGTGACTCTGTCAGCAGTACTACACCTCCGTCTCACTCTGTCTGTGTGTTTGTGTGTGTTCTCTCTCTCTCTCTCTCTCTCTCTCTCTCTCTCTCTCTCTCTCTCTCTCTCTCTCTCTCTCTCTCTCTCTCTCTCTGTCTTTGCTGTATGCATGGCTCACACATCATACACATATGTAGAGTGAACTTCACAGTGCATCGGAGAAGCTCAGTACACTTGGTGCGTGTCTGCTGCTTGTTTCCATGGCAATGATGGCTGGCTTCCTCTACTCTGTCAAGCCGGAGAAAAGAATTGTGGTAAGCTGTGTTGTCATGGCAATAGATAGGTTCCGAACCACGTAAAGTAGTGCACGTAAAGTTGACCAACTTTACGTTAGTAAGTGGGAAAAAACCCTGAATTCGCCAGTTTGCACTCCACTTACGGAAAGTTGTCTATGTAGAGTTCGTAAATGGAGCTCTACTATCAGAGGTGCTCTGTAGGTGGGTTGGGGTATGCGTTTATGACTCTCTCCCTAGGTTGTACGCTGTTGCGTTCGGAGTTGCCAAGGGCAGCTACGTGTTTGGAAAAACCCGTACGGCGGAACACAGATCCGCAAGCAGTGTACGTAAGACTTTCCGTAGATCGACTACGTTTTTTTACGAACGTAATTACGTTGTGCGGATTTTCTCTAAAAAAAGTCTAATGCTTGGATTTTCCATTCTTATTTGGTGCTTGTACATTCACAAACATGTAGTACATAGTGTACATGTGTACTGTATTATGCAGTGTCGAATGACATACACACCGAGGGAGTACCGTGAATCTTTGTCTTCATTTTTGTTTAGTGCTGCTTGGCGTCCGAATGTCTTTAAGGGAATGGGATGATAGATGATTTGCCGGGTTGCCCGAATGAACACCTCTGTGTGCGTCTGGGCGTGTGTGTGTGTGTGCGTGCATGTGTGTGTGTGTGTCTGTCTGTCTGTGTGTGTTTGTATGTATGTGTCTGTCGGCTCATGTGCGCACATGTGCCTGTCGTCATTTTCTCCAGGCTGTTGAGAAGCTCTAGTGTAGAATGTGCAGCAGCAGCACCATCACGAGCAGCCCCGTTACCAGTAGCAGCAGCAGCAACAGCCTGGGCGAACGTGATTACCTCTGTAACCACCAGGACCAGCACCAACACCAGCACCAGCAACATTGTATATTGGTATACAGGAGCCAGTTGACCGGTCGCTAATCCTCGTCGCACTCTGCTGGTACTGTTCTTCCTGTGTGGCAGTTGTATCTTCTATTGTGTGCTGGAATCACGGTCTGGGTGTGAGGTCAGTGTGTGCAGGCTACATACTGCATATTACTGCTGCGCTTGGAGCCCTTTAGCCGTGACTCCTGCTCTTGAAGTCCTGAGACAATGGCTGCTGTTCTTGGAGTCCCCAAGCTGTGGTTCCTGTTCTTGGAGTCCCCAAGCTGTGACTCTGTTTTTGAAGTCCTGAGGCAATGGCTCCTGCTCTTGAAGTCCTGGAGGCACGGCTCCTGTTTTTGAAGTCCCCAAGCTGTGACTCTGTTTTTGGAGTCTCCAAGCTGCGGCTTTGTTCTTGGAGCCCTTGAGCAATGGCTCCTGCTCTTGAAGTCGTGAGGCTGTGGCTCCTGCTCTTGAAACTCTCTCTCTCTTTCTCTCTCTCTCTCTCTCTCTCTCTCTCTCTCTCTCTCTCTCTCTCTCTCTCTCGCTCTGCCAGCAGTAGCTATTAAAACGACTTTCCTGTAGGCTTAGGATTTTATTTCGCCACCGCCGGCGTGTCTGAAAGCGGTCCAGTGCAGTACAGCGTGTATGCATACCAGCACTGTACCGCAGTTCACGTGCACTCTGCCGCTGTTTACGGGTGCATGTGCGCACACGCAATCTGCTTTTTGCTGCCTTTTTTTAGGACATGTTTTGTTTGAACGTGACATTTGCCAAGGTGAATAGTAATGTATCTGCTGTGCAGATCAACCGTCGCTTTTTTAAATATTACGATATGCCGGCTTATCATCTGCTACCCCTTTACGTTGCACACACTCGTGCGCGCACGTGCACATACGCATACACGTACAAGCACATGCACACACACACACACACACACACACACACACGTCCGCGCTTCTTGTTTCAACTCGACGCGATCACTTGATCACCTGTGCAATCTTGATGGCTGGCCCAACATTACATCACCTCTCACTGTAGTACAGTTCTCTATCTCATCACTTGATATACTGTAATGTGCAGCTGTCTGTTTGTACTCTAAATTCAGAAATTTTAGGTGCTCAACATTTTCTGTATGAGGGCAAAAGGCGAGGTTAAGCGAACGGAAATTTTCTGTACAGAGAAGCAGTTCCCTATTGCCTTATGTGTGCTAGTGCTTGTTCGGTGTATTGAAATTTATTTATGAATCAGATGCACCGAAAGTACCGAAAATAAAAGTACACCGAAAGTTGTGAAATTATAGTATTCGAATCAAGAGTACGAGTACTGTCATGGACATGGAAATCCTGTTGAATGGCCGGGGCCTGCGCCCTCAGACTCAGTGCCTGCGCCCTCAGTGCCTGCACCGTCAGACTCAGTGCCTGCACCCTCAGACTCAGTGCCTGCGCCCTCAGACTCAGTGCCTGCGCCCTCAGTGCCTGCGCCCTCAGACTCAGTGCCTGCGCCCTCAGTGCCTGCGCCCTCAGACTCAGTGCGTACAGTACATTGCATGTGTGTACCGTATGCGTACTCACGACTGCATGGCCAGCGCCTGGGGCTGCTTGACCTCTGACCGTATTTCCATGTCCACGACAGTGCATAATTATAACCCCAAGAGTGTGCAACGCCCCCGCCCCCGCATACCCTGCTGTTCCGACAAAGTTTCAAGTTGACATTGATGTTGTTCATGATGCAATGCTCGACGCACACTTCATGTACAGCCTTTGTACGTGGTGTCAAATTTCTCTTCAACCTCCCCCCCCCCCCCCTCCCCCAAGTCTTGAAACGATCACATACAAACGGTACATACTAGTACTGTATCGATATTTTTTTCCTTTTTTCTGAACGTACTCAAGCATACAAACTGTGCATCGATATTTTATTTTTCGAGAAACGACCAGGCACTCAACCCCCTCCTCCCCCCCCCCCCCCCCCCAAACGACTAGTTTTCGTTTCTAAATATCTACATGTATATTTACGGAGGGCCCCTTTTAATCTGACCGCCCAGTCAAAAATCGACGACTATTAGCCCTTTCCCAAAGCCGGTGCCGCCCTTTTTGGCCCTTTTTGGAAAAGCCCGTTTCTTTCGCCCTTTATTGCGTTTTTTGGTGAATATCGCCCTTTTTGAGCTTTTTTAGCTGAAAAAGTGCTAAAATCTGTTTGCTCATGCATGCGGTCACAGTTTCCGAGTGCTCGATCTGGATGGGCCTTGGCACCCCGCATTTTAGGGGGGGGGGGGGCTAAAGTTGGTGAATCTTGTACCCGGTGTAAAAAGTGGGTTTTTTTTACTTTACTTCCTGTTTTGCCTTTCGTGGACCCATAAATGGAAGAGTGCGTATTCATTTCTCAGCTTGGGTTCATACATGTACATGTATATCTGAACATGTATCATGGCTATGCTTCACTGAAAAAAGAGCACTTTTTGCCTGTTTTCACTGAAAAAAGAGCACTTTTTCAGCATATTTTGAGGGACGCGAAAAGCACTAAGTGCGAATTAAAAGAGCACTTTTGGGAAAGGGCTAACGACTATCCGTCGGTGACTGCTGTAACTCACTTATTTTTGACCGAGCCGTCTTCGCATTTTCCGAAAAGAAGTTACCGGTATACGTCTCTGAATGCGGGCTGTTTTCACACCGTGTACGAAACAAGTTTCCAAATGATGTAACTTTGGCCATGATTATGCTGCCCTCCTAAAACTTTGCTTCGAGGCTTCCCCGATGGTGTATCCCAAAAGCGTTAGTGTCATGAAGTACAAAATCGTTAGTGTCCTGAAGTACAAAATCGTTAGTGTCATGAAGTACAAAATCGTTAGTGTCCTGAAGTACAAAATCGTTAGTGTCATGAAGTACAAAATCGTTAGTAGAGAGGTTGCGCACAACGAAAATTCGTAGCGCCGTAACGAATATTTTAACGAAAAAAGCTAACGAATATTCGTCAACCGTGAGGTTGCGCACAACGCGTGAACGTTTTCGTAGTGGGTCGACACGGCGGCCGCGCGGGTACGAAGAGTCAAGACAAGGAGTTGTAAAATATCAATATTTTAGTACTCCAGGTGACGAAAAATATTCTCGTAGATCTGCTCTGTTTCGGTCACGTTTGGACGGATCTTCGGAGCAACTTTCGTTACTCGAACCCGGACGGTCGAAATCTAACGAATTTTCGTTGTGCGCAACCTCTCTAGTGTCATGAAGTACAAAATCGTTAGTGTCATTAAGTACAAAATCGTTAGTGTCATGAAGTACAAAATCGTTAGTGTCATGAAGTACAAAATCGTCAGTACAGTGAGTAGTTAAACCCAACACGAATGAAAAATGTGAAATCGTTAGTGTCATGAAGTACAAAATCGTTAGTGTCATGAAGTACAAAATCGTTAGTGTCATGAAGTACAAAATCGTTAGTGTCCTGAAGTACAAAATCGTTAGTGTCATGAAGTACAAAATCGTTAGTGTCATGAAGTACAAAATCGTTAGTGTCATTAAGTACAAAATCGTTAGTGTCATGAAGTACAAAATCGTTAGTGTCATGAAGTACAAAATCGTCAGTACAGTGAGTAGTTAAACCCAACACGAATGAAAAATGTGAAATCGTTAGTGTCATGAAGTACAAAATCGTTAGTGTCATGAAGTACAAAATCGTCAGTACAGTGAGTAGTTAAACCCAACACGAATGAAAAATGTGAAATCGTTAGTGTCATGAAGTACAAAATCGTTAGTGTCATGAAGTACAAAATCGTTAGTGTCATGAAGTACAAAATCGTTAGTGTCATGAAGTACAAAATCGTTAGTGTCATGAAGTACAAAATCGTTAGTGTCATGAAGTACAAAATCGTTAGTGTCATGAAGTACAAAATCGTTAGTGTCATGAAGTACAAAATCGTTAGTGTCATGAAGTACAAAATCGTTAGTGTCATGAAGTACAAAATCGTTAGTGTCATGAAGTACAAAATCGTTAGTGTCATGAAGTACAAAATCGTTAGTGTCATGAAGTACAAAATCGTTAGTGTCATGAAGTACAAAATCGTTAGTGTCATGAAGTACAAAATCGTTAGTGTCATGAAGTACAAAATCGTCAGTACAGTGAGTAGTTAAACCCAACACGAATGAAAAATGTGAAATCGTTAGTGTCATGAAGCATTAAGACATGCCAGGATATCAGGAAATTCAAAGTCCAGCTTTCCACACTGTCTCATCCGAAGTGATCCCATGTATTACTAATGTGCCTCCCTTTCTTTTTCTCTCCCTATCTCCTTTCCCTCTCTGACAGCATCTTTCTTTTTCTCCCTTTTAGCTTGCCGTGGTTGGCTATCACCTGACCTCTCATGTTTATTGGCAGTCTTCGGACGGGCCAGGAGATGTTGAATAAATAAATAAATGAAGTACAAAATCGTTAGTGTCATGAAGTACAAAATCGTTAGTGTCATGAAGTACAAAATCGTTAGTGTCCTGAAGTACAAAATCGTTAGTGTCATGAAGTACAAAATCGTTAGTGTCATGAAGTACAAAATCGTTAGTGTCATGAAGTACAAAATCGTTAGTGTCATGAAGTACAAAATCGTTAGTGTCATGAAGTACAAAATCGTCAGTACAGTGAGTAGTTAAACCCAACACGAATGAAAAATGTGAAATCGTTAGTGTCATGAAGTACAAAATCGTTAGTGTCATGAAGTACAAAATCGTTAGTGTCATGAAGTACAAAATCGTTAGTGTCATGAAGTACAAAATCGTTAGTGTCATGAAGTACAAAATCGTACAAAATCCAGGAACACGGTCGCCTGTATGGATATTTCACCAATCCGGACAAAACCCTACTTCTCGTGAAGCCCGGATTGGAGGAGGAGGCTTCACATCTGTTTGAAGGCACCGGTGTCCGCATTGTCACCGGCAGCACTAAATATCTGGGCTCATACATCGGGGAGCCTGATGATGTTGCCAGCCAAGTGAGGGAGAGGGTTGATGATTGGTGCAAGGAGCTACGCACATTAGCAAAGTTTGCCAGCACAGAGCCTCACGCGGCTTATGCAGCTTTGACTCATGGCCTGCGGGGTCGTTGGGTCTACCTCTTTCGTACGGTTCCCATTCCGGAGGACGCAGTATCAGCGTTGGACAAGGTAATCGAAACTGAGTTCTTGCCGGCTGCAACTGGTCGAGATGCATTCACCACGGAGGATTTGGTGATGCTCAGGCTGCCGACTCGTTTCGGGGGAATGGCCATTCCACACTTTCACAGCATGAGCGGGACAGAGCGCGACGCTTCCAGAGCAATGACAGCAGCCCAGGTTAGTGAAATTCTGCAACAGAACAACACATCATGGACCAAGCAAGCACCGGAACGTGTTCGGCAAGATGCTATGACAGCCAAGAGGGATTTTGCCAGACAACGCGGCACAGCAAGTGAGGCTGAGTTCCGCCAGCTGCGGCAGTCGGCGTCGGCGGATATGTCGCGTCGTTGGAGCATTTGTCCTCCCGAGGTGTCTCTAGCTGGCTCAACACACTGCCTATCAGAGAACACGGATATCATCTGTCGAAGGGAGATTTCAGGGATGCGGTGGCGTTGCGGTATGACTGGGCATTGGTTGATGTGCCTACTACCTGCTCTTGTGGCCAACCGTTTAGTCCGGCCCATGCCATGTGTTGCCCTACTGGTGGTTTCCCCACCATTCGGCACAATGAAGTTCGCGATATTCTTGCCGATTTACTTACTGAAGTTTGCTCGGATGTCGCTGTCGAGCCTCAGCTTGCTCCGGTTTCGGGAGAGGTGTTTCTGGCAGCCTCAACTATCACCGCCAACGATGCTCGCGCTGATATCCGGGCTCGAGGGCTGTGGACCAGGGCACAGAATGCTTTCCTGGATGTCCGGGTTTTTCATCCCGATGCTCCGTCCTATGCCACCAAACCTCTCGACAAACTGTTGGCGGAGCATGAGAGGAAGAAGAAGCTGCAGTATGCTGAGCGCATCATCAATGTGGACCGTGGGACATTTACTCCACTAGTTTTCACCACGGCCGGTTGTTGTGCGCCAGAGTGCTCCAGATTTGTTAAGCGCCTGTGTGGCCTCATTTCGAGTGGGGACACGAAGTTGTATGCCCAGACAATGACATATGTCCGGTGTCGACTGGCGTTTGCATTGTTGCGGTCGGCGATCATGTGCAT